ATGTGACCACAGCCAGTAGTGACAGGCCCACGCAGAGTGCTCTTTGCATTGAATCCTTTGCTTAACCCAATCTTTTCACTAATGACTTCACCCCCAGAAGAGTCAAGCCGCTTGACCGTGGTGTGGTTCTCTCCAGCCACACCGAAGGGCCGAATTTCCTCCGCGGATCTGTCTAGACTCGAGGGAGTTTTGAGTGCCTCGCGAATTCTGTCGGAATCCCGGATGTCGGTCTGTCGCAGGATTGTGCTGTCTTGGATCATTGCAAATGTACCATACAGTCTAGAATCATTGGTCTCTTCTTGACACAAGATACAGGTTCCACTGGGATACTTCCAGACTTTCTTTTCCGGGGCAGTTTCAGTGTCAGACTCGAGGTCACTGAAGTCTTCTTCACCCCAATCAATATTACCCTGGCTGCTCAAGAATTGTTGCTGTTGCTGCTGGAACTGGGCCATGACCTTGGCTTGTCGCTCCATAGCCTGTTTCTTCTTGTTCTCTTTTTCACCGTCTGCATCAATCGCAGGGGAGTTGGTGTCGATTCTGTCGAAGGGGAATCTAAGAGAGGCAGTTGCAGAGTGATAGGTGCGAGGGCGCTTTTGCCACAGGCGTTTGAGGATGTGACGAATCTTTGGACCAGAAGAGCTGAACTCAGTCGTAACAGAAATCTTCTCCAGAAGACCGACGATTGTCAAATTGCCCGCCTTGATCTCTCGGGATTTCGACAAAGCATTCCAGTTAAAAGAATTGGAATGCTCGTCAACCATGTCATCTTCATGAGAATCATCTTCCAACACTGCGGCAAGGATAAGATGCAAGATCACTTGAAGGAAAGTCTCAACACGTGTTGGGGGAATGCTTGGTGTACACTCCTTCGATGAGATGACATATTCCAGACATTGGTGTACGATCTGGGCAAACAGCATAGTACCAACAAAGCGAGGAAGGTCAGAAAAAACGCCGGAACTGATGGGCCGGAGCTTCGGCTCATAGACAATATCAGATGCATTCTTTCCTGTTTTCTTGGCCATCCATTCTTTGTAGATATTCTCCGCTTCGTCTCTTTGGTTCTTTGTGTAGTGAGCACTGTATGGGTCAATGAGGTCGAGGTTCTCGGGCTTCAACTCGAAAGTCCCCGAGTCACTCAAGCCCTCTGGCGGGCGGAAGTTGGCGACTTCTTCCAGCACATCTTGGAACATGTCCGAGTCCAAAAGCTTGTCACTGAGACGGGTAGAGAGATCTGAGAAAGAAAGGGGCTTGAAGCACAAAACATGAGCAATGTCCCGTTTGATGTTTTCGTTGGTGAGGTGAGTGCTATCATCGATAGCTGTCAAAGATGTCCGATCCGTTAAAATGATCACCAGCAGATGAACGAATTCCTCTGCCACATCCACAATCTGGGAATCCTCATAGCCAGGACGAGGAGTGTAGTTCCGGGCCATCCAATCGACCATTCCAAACCGGTGTGCAATAGAAGCAAGAACTCTGCTAGGATCACAAGTCACCATCGCGGTTTGGAGAAGGAAGATGTCTCTGTAGTACGCAAAGTCACGGGAAGAGACTCCGCGGTATTGGGACATTTGGTGACGAAGACTGAGACCGTTTCGGACCCACATGCCAGCCTTCATCTGCGCAAGCCAGGCGCATACCCGGAGCGGGTAATCGAACATAGCCAGAAGCAGGTCCTCAGTTCCAAGGGAAAGCAACTGGTCGTCAACGCTGTTTTGATCATTCGCCTTGGCGTCTTGAATCGCAGCCCTCGCTGTCTGAGCAGCATCAAAGAGAACGCTGCGCATGGTAGCAGTGCTGATGTTGCGCCCACATTCAACAAGCCAGGACAGAGTGTAGTGAAGTGCGTGGTGGAAACTGATTGACCCACGCTCAACGACAAATTCAACAACTCGGTGGCAGAGAACTTGACCAGAGGCGCCAACTTCAAAGTCGAAAGGCGGCAGCGACCTGAATTTCACGTCCTCCTTGATCTCAGCCTGATCGAACCTCTTGCGCTCCATGCCAACTGAATGAAGAATGGCAGTATAAGTTGTAGTTTTGATGGCCCTCAGTAGGTTTTCATCATGGTCGTTGTCGGGATTGCGGAAGGATTCGCAGAAGATACGACAAAGTCGGTTGATCTCGCGCATGAGAATGGAAGCACTGATCCAAGCGTCTGTTTCGTACTCAACGTGCTCACCAACAGCGCGCACATTGGGGCAAATGCCTTGTGATAGTTTGACGAGATCGAGGAATTGGGGAAGATATTGCTCTTCGGTCCGCACACGGTGCTGGACATATTCAGATTGGAGGAGGTATCGAAGGTCAAGGAAGAAGTGGTAAAGACGTCTGTTCGTGACTGAGCCAGCATCAAAGGCCAATGTTGCATTGGGATTGACGGCTGTCGGTTCACTAACTTGTCTCGTTGTCAAGAAAGTGTAGAGAATAGACATGACTTTCGTGAGGAAGTTTCCTCGGAGCACAATCTCTTCGGTGATGGAAGGAGTTGTGAGAAGTTGTAGAGAGAGGTTGACAATTGAGTGGTCTGGCTCTCGGTCTGCAACGAGGTAAAGCTGTGCCAATGCCGTGTACAACGCAGACAAACGTAGACCCATGATACGCTTGAATTGGGGAACATTGACAACGGTACTAATGTAGAGATCACGCAAGTCGGTACGTGTCTTCTTCCACAGTCTCAGATCATAAAGCACCAGCCAGTCCAAGCGAGTACGCTGCCACAAGTCTTCGTACGGGGGCACCCTCTCGCCTGCAGCAGGCATGGGTGGCTGGACTTGCCAGTGACTGTCTACTTTCGCCGGGCTTCTCCTGATCAAACCAGGAGTTCGAGGAATGGAGATGTAGCCGCCGGAACTAGGGCCCCTGGCGTTTGTATCGCGGGAGGGAGTTAGTCTGGATTGCTCCGGCTCAACTGATTCCCGTTCAACAGTTTCAGCGCGGGGTGGGCGAGGAGACGGCGGTTGCGCGCGAGTAAGTCCAGCAAGAATACGCTCAGCCAGAGCGAGCTCCTCATCTGCATCCGCCAAGTCCATGGCATCTGTGTCTTGCTCGGCCTGCAGGCGAGACAGCTCGATCTCCATTTCGTCGTCGTCCTCATCATCCGCATCCTCAGCTTGGACATAAGCCTCATCCTCCTCATCCTCTGCATCCTGGTCTAGTCCATCATCATCGTCGTCATCGTCGTCATCGTCTGCAGTCAAGATCACCTGACCATGAGCAGGCAAGTTGATCATGAGCGTGCGGCCTGGACCGTTCTCACTTCTCTGGTGGTCGTCAATGCCCTTCATGCCAATATCCTCATTTGAGCCGCTGCTGCCCTTGTTCCAAGGAGTGAGCATTTCCTCGCAGATGATCTGTCGGAAGATCTCGTTGTCTTCGAGGATCTCGCAACCAGCAATATCAGCCAGCCACTCCACGATAGTTGCACACATCTGCTCGCGGAATGTGTCGCGCGCAGACCGCACCGTGACAGTGACTTTGATTTCTTCAATGATCTTGGAAACGGTAAGTAGCCTTTGCAGGTCCTTGGAATATTTGATCACACTGCGACCAATATCATTTGTCTCATGAGCCCGGGCCATACCGTAGCTTTCTCGTTCACGGCAAGCACGCGAAACCTGGTTGGAAACATCTCGAATGGTATGCTTCTCGTCGTTCCACAACATGACCGCAAACTCAGGCTCTTCTTCCTCCTCATCACCAGCGCCATACCAGTCTGGACGCAACCGAGATGCCACCTCATCTTCTCTGATACCCTCGACAGTCTTCGGTAGCCGTAATTGCTCTGGAGAGCAGGAGATGACATCACAGAAATAATCGAGTACACGCGCGATGGTCAGACGAATCGAGTTCACAAGCTCAAACGGCAATTCACGCTTCGCACGCTCCTTTCCCTTGGCGTTGCCACTGTCCGTGTGAATAGCGCAGAAGAGCGGCAGCCGCCATGCCTCATCGTCACCACAGTCACAGCAACCACAGTTCCCAGACGATAACGAGATCTGATATTGATGGCCGGTATGATCGGAAGAATCGAAGCACCGACTGCACAGCACGCAGGTGTCATCCGCAGCGCAGGTCACACATCGGTATGTGGCCTCGCCAGCTCGAAAGATATGACCGCATCGCTTGCCCCGCGCCGCCTCACTGTACTCAGCACCTTCGCGAGCACCCTGAGCCTCGGCAAGCTTCCAAGGCCCCGGCGGAGTACCCTCTGGGAAAAGATGCTGTAAAAGCTCCTGGTTATGCCCCACGAGCGACCGGAACAGAAGCTCTAGCAGATCCCTTTCAGCCGCCGGGCCATAGCGGTAGTTGTGTTTCTTGGGCAAGCGGAGTAGACCATCACCGAGGAGTTTCTCACATTCTCCGAGCATGAGCATGGCTTATCGCGGCCGGTGTATTGCAGCCGCTCGGCTATCGCAGGTGTGGTGAGAACGTCGCGACAATGCGCAGAACGGGTGGGAATCGTCCGACGCCGGAGGGAGACTCGGTATGCAGCCGGAACTGAATTTTTTCGAGGCCGAGGTGTAATACCGGATCGGATCGAGTGTAGTTCGCAAGTGTCTCACGTTGCTCAATACTTTGTAGTGGGGGGCAGAAAGAGGAGAGCGGGTGTGGACCGATACAGGCGAGCAGATGACGGTGAAGTCATACGTGATTCGAATTTGAAGGTGGAGCTCAATATCCAAATGGAAAAGATCGAGTGCAATTACAGCAGATGTTTGAGGTTGTTTTACATATTAAGTGAACTTATGACGATGTCGGTCTATTTGTAAACGCCACAAACCACGAAATCACGCTACGGCCTGGTCACCACCTGGACAACACCTCAATCAATATAAGTAAGTCAAAATACAGATTTCCATCTATCGCATACAAGCCATATGGGAATGAGAAATAAGGGCAAGTCGCACGGGTTATTCTATCCCCCTGTCACCACTTTACACGGCCAACGTTCGATGCCCAACATCCAACGTCCAAACGTCCATTCGGTCCATTTATTCGTCATCCTCTTCCTCCTTGACCATGTAACGGTGCTTGATGTCCTTCCATTGGCGCTGTATAAAAGCAGTAGTTAGTAAGTGTTCTGTGCTGTAGGCCGTGGCTTCGGTCCTTCGGGGAGAGTAGGTGACATACGCCCTGGTTCCAGGAGTCCCAGATCTTGTTGGAGGTGATATCGAAGCCACTATTTAAGAATTGTATGGTCAGTGATCTGTATAGCCCAACATAACAATATAACACAACAGGAGGTCGAATGTCACGCACAGCTCAAAAGCAAAGGCACCGGCAAAGGCGGTAGTCAAGAGAACAGTGTTCTTGCGAATGAAGGTCCTAAACAAAGCGAAACAATCCGCAGTTAGATTCTGGTCGGGCAATTGCAATTGCGATCGTAGGAACGAGGGAGGGGAGACATGCGAGTAGATAGCGTTTGCGAGCTGTCATGCGAGAAGGTCAGTACGGAACAGAGCAGGAAATTCATAGAGGAAAGAGAAGACATACGCCGGCCATTGTGGGCGATTGAGTGAGTCACGACCGAGGGGGATTGGAGAGGATGGAGTCAAGAGAGACGTGAGGTTGCGAAGTTGAGCGAAAAGCTGCGGGAATTCCCGGCCCGCTGATTGGCCCAATGAGCCTCCGGCCATCCGCACTCATCTTTGTTGTTTTTGCTCTCTTCAAGTCTTCAACTTTTTCTTTGGGCGTTTGACGCTGCTTTCTTCTTACTTCATTCTCTTTCTTGCTTTTTGACCCTTTCCTCTCCACAACTCCCCCTCATCCACCATGGCTTCCCACGTCGCCCGCTCCGGCATCACCACCGATGCCAAAACCGGCGAACGCTACATTCCCGCCTCGGTGCGCGCCGACGGCTCCAAACGCAAGGAGATTCGCGTCAAGCCAGGCTACAGGCCCCCAGAGGATGTAGAGCTCTACAAGACTGGCGCAGCGGCCGCCTGGAAAAGCCGCGGAAAAGGCGGGGTGCCAGGTGCTGAACCATTGAGCACCGGTGCAGAGAAGACCAACACCACAAACACCGCAGCCAGCAACAAAAACGCCAAGCGCCGCGAGGCCAAGCGTCAGACCAAGGAGGTCGATCAGACCAGCCCCGCCGAGACCAAGGGCGTCGAGTCCAACAATTGGCGTGCCCCGGCACCACCCAAGAAGGAAGAAAAGCCCGCCGAGGAACCCGTTGACGCGGAGGTTGAGAAGGAGAAGAAGGCCCGCAACCTTAAGAAGAAGCTCCGACAGGCTCGCGATCTCCGCATCAAAAAGCAGCAGGGCGAGGCACTCTTGCCCGAGCAGCTTGAGAAGGTCATCAAAATCCAGGAACTGGTGCGCCAGTTGGATATGCTTGGCTTTGACTCCAACGGTGATAAGAAGACCGACGATCAATAAGAGGTCTGAATGACTACATCAATCCTCAAACGCGGGGTTACTGGTTTTTGTCATGGATCATTTACTTCTTCATGTCTTGAGGGCATTCAAGTAACGCCATCACCGGGCTTGCTGCAAGCACCTCTACGACACGATGCCCCGCCGATTCTGCAGATCTGCAGCTGATGACTGGAAACTGAGCACCATATATATAAGGTGACTGGCGGCCACACAGCGATTGCCCCCTCTTCCAGCTCAAGCGCCGGCCATGCGCGATCCGCCATGGCGACTTTCCGCCAATCCCCCCATAATTTGCCGATCCCAAGCACCCGAAGATCTCACTTTACCCCTAATTTCGACCTCAGTCTCGACTTAGAAGTGAATACACCAATCATCATTGGCGGGTCAGATCAAAGCATGCTGATTATGACGCGGCACTAAATTGCAGTAATACCAAGAAACATGCATCAAGCATCTCCGGCACAGGCCGTTCCTCCCATTCAATTAAATAGAAAAATATCGTACAAAGTTCCATTCACAGTCCATGGCTTGGTCCACTCCAGGCCAAAAATCTCTACTATACAATACTAAGCACACGCTGTAAAAACAACTATATGAGCCAGTCACATAAATCTACAGACGTGTATCAGTCAAACGAACAGGCGACATGACAATACCACCCTCATAATTCCAACCAGGATCGACAACACCATTCCACGGACGCCAGGGACCGCGCCTGGTATCAGGTGTAATCATACCAGTGCCATATGTCGCAGATAGGATACCCTGCTTAACACAGTCGGACACACCAACGCCATTATACCAGTTTCCGGCGAGGATGAGCTGCCTGGAGTACTCGATGCGTGATGTATATGATAGATCGTACATGCGCTGCAGATGGCCGACGGTGTACTGGGGGATGGCGTCCTTCTGTAGACGAGTCCGTGCGACGGTTGGGGTATCCATGATGTTTAGATGTCTCTTGAGGAGATCCCGGGCCATCTTCACGGCGGTGTCGTGGTCGGGATAGTTGTCTACGCCGTCCCAGTAGTGGCCGCCCATCATGACGGTGAGTTTGGTTCCTGGAGCGGAGTCTTGTTTGACTGTTGGTGAGGTGGGATGTGTGCCTTTTCCTACACTAGAGGCTGAGGCGAAGATCACGCCTAGGCCGCATTCCGGATTTTGTTCGTAGGGGATTGAGCGCGGGATCAGATAGCCGAAGCCTTCTTCCACGGGGAGGAGGTTGGGGTTTGGGTAGTAGAGGTTGACGACCATTACAGTCACTGCGTAGTTTTGTTTGCGGAGGAGGGAGCGGGTGGTGCCTTCATGTTTCTCGTTCAATCCCTTGCTTGGGACTAACATGTTGGCAAGTGCCACTGGGGGAATTGTAGATATGACATGGTCAAACTGTTGTTTTTGGAGTCCTTTCCCGTTGGCTGTTGGAGTCCCGATCTATAAACAGTCAGTAACGGGTCTGGAATAGCACGGAACCTTGAAAGACATACTTCTAATCCAAACGTTGGATCGGAAGCTACTTGTTTGACATCCGAGTTCATAATGATTTTGACTTTGCCGGATCCCTTCAAAGAAGTAACGAGAGCGTCAATCAGCTGGCCAACACCGTTCTTAAAGGTGAAAGTACTAGCTTTAGCCACTATGCGCTCTAGGTCGTGCTGATACTTCGATAGCTCTGGCGACCCTGAGATAGCATCCACGGCCAGATAATCATCTATCGCGCATGACTTCTTGCGGTAGAAGGCCCGGTGTACCATAGATGAGAAAATGCCCCCAGGCACAAACGAACCAACACCCCCGGTACCTCCTTCAAGGTCGCGAATCGAACCCATGAGCATCTGGGCACTTAACTGATCGATATCACCGGCATAGATACCGTGGTACACAGCGGAAACCAGGTTATCGGCGATTTTGGGGTGAAACCGTCGTCCAATAAAGTCCGCAACGGATTCATCCTTCGCCCATTCAGTCGCATGACGTGGTTGAGTATAGATATCATGCAAAATCCCCGTGAACAGCTTATCAAAGACAGGCTCATTCCAAAGAGCTTCTAAAGTCTTCTTCATAAACTCAAGTCGGGTCAAGTTCGGTTCAGGTGCGGGCATGCGAACGAGATGGTCCGGGTAGTAGATATAGCGATTCCGAGCCGCAGGGCTGTTTTTCGAGGTAATGATGAGGTCTTTGTACAAGCCAAGGTTCGTAGCCTGTCAATTGGGGTTAGCATATCGAGAGCATATCCTGAGAAGACAGAGGCACGCGAGCAGGTGCCCGTACCAGGTAAAGCATAGGCAGAGAGCTTGGCAGCGAGCTCTTCAATGTCCGTGGCCCGTACTCGAACACAACATTGCCGCCCTCGACAGGGATGTTTTCGGAGTCGACCCATCCTCCTAGTCGGTTTGATTTCTCGTATAGCACGACTTGTTTGCATTTGGGGTCCTGGGTCAGCTGCCAGGCGGCTGTGAGGCCGGTGATGCCACCGCCTAGTACGGCGGTGCTGTGGCTGCGTGTCGCTGCAAAACCTTGGCGATTATGGAAGCTGGCCAATTGTCCTCGCCTTAATAGGCTTGAGGAGTGTGGTAGTCGCATCTTGGATGTGCAATACTTAGTTGGAGAAGCTAAGATCAACCGCGAAGGTCCTCGGTCCTATCACCTTACTTAAGCTGGGGACTTCCCCGGAGCGGGCGCCTCTCTACGATAACCTATGGAAGCCAGGTGTTGAGCAGTATATTTAGCGATATTGATCGCTTTCAGATTATTCTTTTTTGAAAGATCAGAAGGGATATCTATGTACGGAAAAAAAGAAGCGGAAAAAAAGACATCTGGGGCAAACAAGCCAAATTCATGAGTATCAACGCCCTCCCTTGCCGTTCCTCATTCACAGCAGATTGGATTGTACATGGTATTGTTGGATTGGGCCTTGGCCCTGTTTTGGATTTGGATTCTTCGGTCATGTCAGGCGGAGTCATGCGGTAAGCTCCTGGCCTTGAGTACCCTCTTGGTTCTCGGGCTTGATCAATTCTTCAGGGCCATCAACGTCGCCCACAAATTTGCGTTCGCTCACATGTTCACCAGAGCGCGGAGTCCACACCTTGTCGGTGAAAGCACCTCGCTGGCCTTCAGCATGCTTGTAGGTGCAGTTGGGGTTGAGACATGGGTTGAACTTGCAAGCAGTTTCGATGTGTGTGAACTTGCAACCTTCCGTCTTGCAGTCAGCTCCGTTGCGGCAGACAGGCATGCTGGGATGCTTAAAGTGACAGTTGGGGTTGGTGCAATGCGGGAAGAATCGGCACATGGCCTCTGCCTGGTGGGCGGAGCGGACCGCTGGTGAAGGGTGACGTCCGGTGCACTTCTTGTTTTTGCAAGCTGCACCAAATGAGCAGACATCGGAAGGGTCCAGAGAAGTGCCTTCGGGGGCGGCTGGAGACTGGTGTGCGAATGGGCAATCTTGACGCGTGCATCGAAGATTGAAGCGGCAAATGCTGTTCGGATTGCTTTCGTCCTGCTCCGTATCCATGTCGACGTCGCCTCCGTTGGTGGTCTTGGGCTTGTTGTACCCACGGTTTCCTCCGCGGTTTCCTCCACGGTGACCGCGCTCGACCCGATCAAAGAGCGAACGACCTTGCTGCGAACCACTCTGGAAAGCAGGGTTGACGGCGGGGGGAACGAAACCAGGCATTAACTGAGACATCACGCGCGCTTGTTCTTCTAGCATGGACATAAGCTGCATCTGGTTTTCAGGTGACATCTGCATCATAGGGCCTTGGCCCATGTTGCCGGGCATTCCCATGCCGCCCATGTTCCGGCCACCGCGACCATTCTGGTATCCTTTCATGCCTCGGTTGTTACCGCCGATGCGCCCATTGCCTTGTCCTTGTCCGCGTACACGGTGCAGAGCTGCGTCCGAGCCACGGTCTAGGCTTCGGTTAATCTGGTTGAGCATTCGTCCTTTGCCGCCGCGCCCGTTGCGCATCGCCTTAGGTCCGGTGGGACTATCGATGGATTTTGTCAGCGTTGCAGGTCTCAACAAATTGCCAGAATTAACATACATGAACTCATTTCCTGCATCTCCCATCTCAGCATCCTGGCCGTTGGTCTCCTCTCCGAGCGAGGGAATAAATGACTGAGCTTCGGGGTTGTGTCCCATTTGTGAGGGAATCGGCTGATTCATGTTGACGTTGTTCGAAGGGGCGCCTCCGTTGATTTGCTGGTTAAGCATCTCAACCTGTGAGAACAGCCATCGCGAAAACTCGAGAGCAGCGGTGTCGCCTTCGTCGAGGCCTAGGAAGTCGTTGGATAGTTCAGTGGCGATCTGCTCTTGAGATTTTCCGTTGACGAGCATGAGAACGATGTATTCGACCAATGGCGATTCTTGGCCATCGCTCCAGCCCATCTCGACTAGCTTCGGCTGGATGGCACTTGCGACTGCCTGCGCGAGAGGCGACTCCAAGGTAATCTGAGGTAGCATGATGAAGGAAGTCGTAGGATAGCGAGGAAGTGACGGTTTAGTGAGAGATCGCAAGGACAAGAGAATGATAAAAGAACGGGTTTGCGCCACCCGATAGAGGCGTTTCGGATTGACTCAGAGCGACTGATCAAGCGGTTATCACGAGAAAAGTGGAAAAGGACGGTCGGGATCAGTAGATGAAGTTCTGGGCGTTGCGCAAGCCAGAAAATGGAACTGGTAAAAGGAGGTGGACTTTGACAAGCAGATGGAGTGAGGCTAAAGACCCGAGACCAAAATGTACGCCAGTCACGTGATGTAGATGGTCGGGCGGTGAGGGGAAAGAAAACAGATCAAAACGGCATCAGCTGGTGTTTGATCTTGTTTTGTGTTGGATCTCTCTCAGAGTGAAATTTTGTTCCCGAGATGTCGGGACTAATGATCTGGGTGAAGAGAGAGGAGTTGTAGTTGAAACAAATGATTGACCAAAGACATAAATATCGAGGGGACCAACAAAGCTATTGTTTGTTCGTCAATAACCGCCTTCATTGTGAATAAGATGAACGAGTTGAACAATGAGAACTTCAAATGTGCTATTGATACTGTCTTGGACCAAACTAGAACATGGAACATGTAGGACTATAACACGGTGTTCACTCATGCCTTTGTAATCCCAAGCAGGCATGGTAGGCTAAGACAAGGCATCATAGCCCTAAGCCATATATAATCTCGTGCTTGAGTGGCTGCTGACTGACCAACCAGAAGACGTCTAAGTATATGTCAATCTTTGCAGGGCTCGGAATCATATGCAACACTACCGAGGTGTCAGCAACCACAGTTTCCCCAGATTATCGGAATTCAGCGTGAAATCCGAACACCCAAGGGTGGGACCCGCGGAGATCCGGGGTTTAGGCAGATAACATAGGCATCAAGACGACTAACAGACCAATCCTAGGCATGTTTCAATATGAATGTCGTATAAAAAAAGGGGCCGGGTGACCGAAATGAAGTCATACTATAAAGCGGGGCTCGCAAGAACGCCTGAAAAGAGCCAATCTACTCTCTTTTGGGACTCGGCGATTTCGCATTTTCTGGGCATTCGGAGAGATGGGAGTCCGATTGATTCTACTGTAGTTTCGTTGTGACCGGTCTGGTTCTAATTTGGGCTATAAATCTCTTCATTACTGTTGATTCTTGATCCCAACGTCTTACACGCACATTCAAGCTTTTAAGACCAATACGGCGCCATGATTGAAGAGCTCCTCTCTGGGACGTCCCCTGGCCGGGCGTCACTGTGGCTTCTGGGGCTGTTCGTCGCCTTTTGCGTATTCCGCAAGGTGCAAGCCGCTGCGCAAATCTCTCGTCTGGGTGCCAGAGCTCCAAAGATCCAGTTTCGCCTTCCATATGCCCTCGACTTCATCTACAAAGGCCAAAAGGCTAACCTGGTAAATCGCGATCTTGAGTTCTGGGATCAAACCATCATGACTGCAGGCGGACGGACCAATGTGAAGACCGCCGAGCTGGATGCCGGTATCTCGACCCGTGCCATCATGACCAAAGATCCTGAGAACATCAAAGCTCTTCTCACCAGTCAGTTCGCCGATTACGGCAAGGGCGAGCCGTTCCACAAGGATTGGAAGGAGTTTCTCGGTGACAGCATCTTCGCCACAGACGGAGAGCTATGGTCTCGCTCCCGGCAACTCATCCGGCCCATGTTCGCTCGCGAGCGTATCGTCGACACAGAAATCTTCGAGAAGCACGTTCAGAAACTCATCCCGCTCCTAGGTGGCAGCCACTCTCCCAGCAGCAGCAAGGTTGTGGACGTCGGCTCGCTCTTCTTCCGTTTCACCCTCGATGCAGCAACCGACTACCTCCTCGGGCAGGGCACAGACAGCCTCGAGAACCCGGCCACTCGCTTCGCCGAAGCATTCAGATATGTGCAGCAACGTCAAGCGGAGCTTTTCCGCTTCGGGTAAGCAACTCCCCCGATCTTGTGCGATGCCAGTACCAGATGCTATTGGAGGTGATACAAAACCCAATCTGACTGTCCCACCCCAACCTGCAGAGTCTTCAGCTTTGCCATGTCACGCACGGAGTTCCGCAAGAACCTCAAGATAATGGATGACTTCATCCAGCCCTACATTGAAACCGTACTCTCCCTCTCCACCGACGAGCTAGACAAAAAGCTCTCAAAGCGCGAGACCTTCCTAGATGCCCTTGCCCGATTCACCCGTGACCCACGAGTCCTGCGAGACCAACTCGTAGCCGTCCTCCTGGCCGGCCGAGACACAACCGCTGGAACCCTATCTTTCTGCCTCTTCGAACTATCCCGCAACCCAGATGTCGTCACCAAACTCCGTCGGGAAATCCGCGAACGCTTAGGAGTAGGCGTCAACAGCCAAAAGCCCACCTACACCGATCTAAAGGAAATGAAATACCTCAACGCAGTCCTCCACGAGACAATGCGAGTCTACCCAGTTGTCCCCTTCAACGTCCGCTACTCACTCCGCGACACGACCCTCCCACGCGGCGGCGGGCCAGACGGAACAGCACCAATAGGCGTGCGCGCCAACTCCCGCGTCATCTACTCGACGATGCTGATGCAGCGCGACCCGGATCTGTATGACGGGCCAGACTCGCAGAACTACTTCGATCCCGCGAAGTGGATTCCCGAGCGGTGGGTTTCGAATTGGCAACCGAAGCCGTGGCATTTCATTCCTTTCAATGGGGGTCCGCGGATTTGTATTGGGCAGCAGTTCGCGACTATTGAGATGGGGTATACTCTTATTCGGATTCTGCAGGCTTATGAACGGATTATTGCGTTGCCTGTTAATGGGAAAGAGAAGGTTGAGGATCCTGCGCTTAGGTTTGAAGTTACACTTAGTCCTGGCTCAGAGCTGAATTGTGTTTTCCTTAAGGAAGGAGAGGAGGCGGCGCGTGCTTCTAAGGACTAGGGCTTTGGGTGGAATTTTATGACTTGCTATTAACGATTAACTTGAGTTAGTGAAGATATCCAGAATGACGAAGAGATTGCTACAGGCATAAGCCATAAGTGCCTTCCACACCCCCACTATCTTTAAGCAACTATAACCCGAGGCACTCGAAAATGGGCGAAAAAGAGGCGAAAAAAAGAGACCAAAGCAGGGCGAAAACAATGGATGAAACGGTATACTCGCCTAGAGGCTTTCTTGTAGAGACTGACCAATGCTTCATTACCCCCAGAATCCTCCAATACTGAAAACAAATAGTATATAATTTAATAAAAGATTTGATTCTTGATATCAAATTGAAGTTAGAGATATCCCGGCTTTCCACTTCCCAGCCCATAGAACAAAACCCAGGACAAAATCAATAGTAATTCACCTTAGACTTTCGTAGTGCCTTGAGTCTCTGTAAAATCTCCACCTTCCTCAGCTCCAGGTACAAATCCTCCTCATCTGGGTCTGGCATATCACTCAAGAAACTGACCAGTGGTGTCTTCAAAGATGGGGTTTTGATCTCGCCCATGGAGGACTGGGTTATCTCTTGAACTGTCGTAGTAACACCAGGAGCCTTGTCCGTATCTGATTTCGCTCGCAGTGGAACCACTTGTTTAGACAGATAATGCGTCTCCAGGGTTGTATTTCCTCCATCCAGGGTTGAGTAGACGGGGGAATAACCTGACTTAGATAATTCACGATGATCCATATTCATGTTGCCTTTATCCACGAACGAGGAGTGATATGGACTCACTGTCCGGACATCACAGTTCTCCTTAACCGGCACCAAAGTCGCACTGTTCTTTCCTCCCTCGGCTTTTTCTCGAGAATTTCCAGGTCCAACCCAACCCCTACTCATCTGAACAGCCCTCTCCCATTCCCTAAACTTGACAGAACTGTCTTCGCGCGTAACCTGAGGCTCGAAGACCGTACCACCAGCACGGTTGATATCGCGCAGTTCGGCAAAATTGCGCCACATGCCGACGGCGAGACCTGCTGCAATGGCTGCACCGAGGGCAGTGGTCTCGCGCATCTTAGGACGGTAGACTGGGATGGAGATGAGATCTGCTTGGGTCTGCATTGAACTCTGGTCAATTATTTGTGGAAAGAAAGATGCCCTGGAAAGCCATACGCACCTGCATTGCCAAGTCGGAGTTGCTCATGCCTCCATCTACAGCCAGCTCGGAGAGGGTATGACCACTGTCTTGCTCCATTGCGTCGAGAATGGCTTTGGTCTGGAAGCATGTTGCTTCTAGAGTTGCACGTGCGATGTGGCCTTTCAGGGTGTATTGGGTGATTCCGACTGTATAGTCTGTTAGATATTGGTATTGTAAGTAGATAAATTTGAGGACAGCTCACATATGGTCCCTTTGGCATCGTCAATCCAGTATGGTGCGAATAGTCCACTGAAAGCAGTGACAAACACACATCCGCCATTATCTTTCACCGAGCTGGCAAGGTCATTGACCTCTTTCGATTCACTGAAGAAGTCCAGGTTATTCTGCAGGAATTTGATCCCAGAACCTGCCACGGCAATGCTCCCCTCAAGAGCATAGACAGGCTTTCCACCAAAGTGATAGGCCACCGTAGCCAACAACCCATGAGTCGAAAAAACAGGCCTGTCACCAACATTATACAAAAGAAAACACCCAGTCCCATAGGTGTTCTTCGCCATACCCGGGGAAAACCCCTTCTGTCCAACAAGAGCAGCAGACTGATCCCCAAGACAGCCCATAATATGAACACCCGCCAAAACCCCGGAAGCAACAACCCCATACGCCTCCCTATCAGAAGAAGGCACGATCCTCGGCAAATGAACCCTCCCCCGAATCCCAAAGAAATCAAGCAAAGACTCATCATACCGCACCGTCTCAAGGTTAACAAACATAGTCCGCGAAGCGTTTGTCGAATCCGAGACAAAGACGTTAGCCGCCGCGCCGCCATTCAAACGGTACACGAGCCAAGCATCGACAGTCCCAAACGCCAATGTCCCACGATCAAATGCATCCCGCACTTTCGGGACATGCGCCACCATCCAGAGCAGCTTCGTCGCGGATGAGTAGGTTGACAGCGGGAGACCGCATATTGCTTGGAGCTGTGCTGCGCCGGGTTTCTGCTTTAGTTCCGCGACGATGGCTTGCGAGCGTGTGTCTGTCCAGACAATGCCGTTGTAGAGGGGTTCGCCGGTCTCGTGGTCCCAGACGATGGTTGTTTCGCGCTGGTTGGTTATTCCGATGCTTTTTATGGCGGTGCGGTTGTGGCCTGCAGATTCGAATTTTTGCACTGCGGCTTCGATGCAGATTTCTACTGAGGTTATTATTTCGAGGGGGTCGTGTTCGTGCCAGCTTGGATACGTTAGTTTATAAGGGTTTATCTAAGGGTGGGTTTGGCTAACCCTGGGTGTGGATATATCTGGCTAAACTCGACTTGGTGCGAGGCTACTGGCTCGCCATCGCGATTGAAGATGAGGAATCTGGTGCTTGTTGTGCCTTGGTCAATCGAACCCACGAATATCTCCGAGGACTGCATGATTGCGGTTATGCAGCATGTAAGGATCTATGAGAAGGGAAGAAAGAGGTAGACGGGAAAATATTTGGTAGCAAATAGTCCGAGAGAAGTACAAGAAGATAAAAAAACAGACGCGAGTCCCCAAGGGGTCACAAGTATTACTCGCAGCTTCATGTGAATGTCTGATTCGAGGAAATTGAGGGGGAAACAGGAGGGATTGGTGGGAATATCCTGGTCAAAAGTGAGATTGCGATTGGCTTCTTCTCGAGCTGACTGTTGGGATTCAGAGTATACAGTTCATCTTCAGACACAAAGAGACAAAGACAAGAGATCAACCGATCAACTCAAGGATCAACCGATCAACTCCACAACTCTGCATATTGTGGGGAAGATCAGCACTTCTCTGAGAAGTGGAAGTGTCAGATCGGCGCACTGACCTCAATATCTCAGACTTCTCAACACTTCCCAACTACATCTCCGTCTATAGCCCAAATTGCAACTTCAAGGCATTGTATTCAATCCATGACCTGCTTGATAGTATCCGATGACATGAGGACAAGACATCATTTCTACCACCACACTCCACAGAAGGAGTCAAATCCGGCCAACCCCGGCCTCACTGACACTACACATACCTGGCAGATGGTCACACGGACAACCGTCAAGAGTGCCACTGCCGACGACTAGCGACAAAGGGCAATACTACCCTACCAATGTCTCCTACTGTTAAGGTCACCGCCTAAGTAACACAATTGGGGCATTCTAGAAAATTGCAATCAGGACTGCATGAGCTCTGGCACCCGACGAGTTTATGATGAGTAACAGAAGAAGAAGCTTCTCCTAAACGGACAGGATGGCAAATACCGGTCAGCGGGAACGACACGAGAGCATCATCGCTCAACGTGGATATCTCCAAAGAACAGGAACAATCCACCCGGAACCAGACAGTATTTCCCGCCAGCCTAAGCCAAACGGACAATTCCCACAAACGGAATCAGGGAAAGATGAAAAAGGAAAACCATGAGCACAGATGCGCTGTCACAATTTGACCTCTCCGACTAGAAAGGGGAAACAAAAAACAACAACAGCAGAGTACAATGGCCAGCCCAGCCCACTCAATAGAAATATGTCTGTACTTTGACCAATTCCGAGTCTGTCTGGATTTGACCCCAGCTAGTATCTCCCCTGCAAGCTTGCACGCCCCCAGATCCTGAATGAGTTCACCAGAAACAACAGGACCAGACACGCACACACCACACGCCATCCAGGACAAGGAACGTGTGTCAGCCAATCGAACCGACGTGGCCTTGTACAAGAAGCAGCGCAAGGTTTGAGGATTGAGAAGAATAGGGGTTACACTGTGCGGACCTGATTCTGACTCCGTTGATATACCGGAAGACAACCATATTCCCTACACACAGGGAAGGTGTATTGCCCCCGCGGGTGTCGTACTATATCAAGTCGAGACCAGTCCCGCTCTAGAGGACGCCCCCCCTTCTTTTCTGCGTCTATGGCTTCCTGGAAGGAGATCGAGGTAGATATGATGTCGAAAGTTCACCGTGAGACTCTTTCTTCGGATAGTCATGATAGTGGCTGCGGGTCTTTGTGCTTGGGTGGTAAGAAAGAGACTTCTATCCATCATATCAACCCAGAGATTGAGAGTCCTTATACTCGGCCGCTGCTCTGGTCTCGTGTCAGGGACTACGGTCGTGATGCGTTCTCGGAGTTCTTTGGAACGTTGATGCTCACCTTGTTCGGTGATGGAGTTGTAGCGCAGGTGCTGCTCAGCCATGGCCAGAAGGGCGACTATCAATCTATCTCTTGGGGATGGGGGTAAGCCGTTTATCCTTCCTTTCCCTTCCACCCCTCTCGCAGCCCCTATGCTTTATCCGATTTTAACAAAATCCACCTAGCCTCGGCGTCATGTTGGGAGTATATGCCAGCGGCGCATCCGGCAGCCACATCAACCCAGCGGTAACATTCACAAACTGCATCTTCCGCGGCTTCCCCTGGCGCAAATTACCAATCTACGTCCTAGCCCAAATCCTCGGCGCGATGTGCGGTTCAGCAATTGTATACGGAAACTATAAATCCGCCATCGACGCCTACGAAGGTGGACCCCATATCCGTACTGTACCAGGCTACTCGACTACAGCAACAGCCGGCATCTTCTGTACATACCCTGCAGAATTCATGACAAAGACAGGCCAATTCTTCTCCGAGTTCCTCGCCAGCGCGATATTGATGTTCATGATCTTCGCTCTGAAAGATGAGGGAAACCTAGGCGCTGGAACATCAATTCCTCTTGCTCTATTCTTCGTTGTTTTTGGCATCGGTGCTTGTTTCGGGTGGGAGACTGGGTATGCGATTAACCTGGCGAGGGACTTTGGCCCTAGGTTGGTGTCCTATATGCTTGGGTATGGACATGAGGTGTGGGCAGCAGGTGACTATTACTTTTGGGTATGTATTCCTTATTCCCAGTCCCCTCGGTGCTCTGGGGTATGTTGATGTTTTTGCTAATTCAGACCGTTCAGGTCCCAATGGTTGCACCAATACTCGGCTGCACCTTCGGGGGTTGGATCTACGATCTATTTTTGTATAGAGGGACTGATAGTCCAATCAATACACCCTGGATGGGACTCAAACGACTGTTTTTGTTTGGGTCTCTTAAGCAAAGGCGAGTCGCACTGCAGAGTCCGGTCTGACGAGGTCGATTATTCTTCATAGATATTCCACATGCGGGGTTGGAATGATTGATGATTTTTTGAAATTATTTTGATCTTTTATTTTATTCATTTGTTTAGGAAAGTCTCATGTAAAAATGGGTGGGACTGCATTATGATTATCGACGAATTTAGCATTTACTTAGTTCATCACTTGCAATTCAACATCCATAAGAAAAGAACACGATACTTGCAACCCATGTAGTGTTTTATAGTTCGAACCGAGCTCTCATAAATGGATGATTTCCATCTATCACGAGGTCTAAGTCTATACGATAGCTTCTAGGCGATATACTTCCTCCGTATTCTCAACTCCTCAGCTCAATGCAAACAAGCACGTTGAATAGCGTAATCTGGGCTGCATGATTCCAAAAACTAGCACAGCATATGCAGGTTCCTTGCCTAAAGGGGCACATGAAACAATACATGATGTTTGCTGCGGTAATAGGAGTTAATTTAAGCTTGGTAGCAAACAATAGAATGAAGGAATTGGAGTAAGCTGGCGAATGGACTTTGTGTAATCTTTCTACTAGGTAGGTTTGGATTGCAATTTATAAATCGTCTTAGAGTGGTGCTATAAGTTAATCTGCCTATATCATAGCTGCCGTTCTCGCGGTTCAGATCTGCTGGTGTCCCCTTTGCCTGCCCGGTCTCAAATCACTTTATGCTAGTGAACCACGAGATTTCTGTCTCGAAGGGCTACGCTGCTATAATGGAAAACTATAACACATACAATTGCCTCTGGATGCCTGACAAAAAGTGACACTCGGGCACCGAGCTGGCTACAAGTGAGGTAGTTTGGCTTACTCAAAACCCCTACAAATCTGACCCCAAGGAGGAAGGTTACTTTACACAGATCTATAGGCTTCTACGGATTGCATGCAACATAACAAGTGTGAAGTATGCTATTGATACACGGACGCGCAAAGGCAAGTGACAAAGATGAGTGTGCATATCTCCAAATAAATGGAAACAACAGATCCGTAGCTAACTAAGGAACCGCCAAGACGAAATAATGCAATGCATACAGGCTAAATCAAGAATGATGCACACCATTACCGCTTACCCTTCTTGCGGGGAGCGACAACCTTGAAAGCAGCGCTAGCGCTCTCTTCCTCACGCTGAGCAGCAGCAGCAACAGTAGCAGCGGAGCCCTTCTTAGCAACCTCGCTCCAGCCACCACCGCTCTTCTGTTCACCGAAAGCGCCGGGGGAGACGGACTCGACAATGCCCTTGTCGGCAAGCTTGCGGCGGCGGATGAATTCCTCGGAGAAGCGACGGCCGTCGAGGGTCTGCGAGTTGGCGTAGACGGAGTCGGAGATGATCTCGGCCTCGGCAGGGAGGAAGAGGAGTTGCTGGACGAAATCGTCAACTAGGGATTAAATGTTAGTATACAGAGAAGGCGTATTGGACTAAATGTTATGTAGAGATGGACTCACCATTGATGTTGCTGTTCAGCCCCTTGCCCAGAGCGAGAGTGGCCCACTTGGTGAACTCTTCAACGGCCTGGTTGGGGTTGGACTGTGGGACACTTCCAACCGTCACAGTACGAGCAGCGGTAGCAGGGCGGGGCTTGGCAATGACGGGCGAGATCGGGACTGTTCCGCTGGTTGAGCGAGGCCCCAGAGGCACAGAGGGCGCACCCTTGACCTTGCCACTGGCACCGACGGTGGTCCAGGCACCCGAAGGAGCGGGAGCGGCCGGGGCGGCAGAAGCAGGGCCCTTGCTAGCAAGATCGGCGTAACGTTTGCCAGCAGAGGGGGGAGCAGGAGGGCTGGGGGTCGCGGCCATGGCCGCGGCAGCAGCAGCCGCGCGGTTCTTGCGGGCCTCTTCCTCCTTCTGAATCTGAGCCAGGGTCTTCTTGGCAGTGTTGCCGGTAGGTGCGGGCTGGGCCTTGTTGGACCATGGAGAGCCGGTCGACGCAGGAGTAGCTGGGGATCCAGCGCTAGCCCAGTTGGCGGAAGAGGGAAGACCAGGAGCGGCCTGTGCCTGCTGTTGGCTCAGACGCTCTTGTTCGGCGAGGAACTGAGCACGACGAGCAGCGGCAGCAACCTCCTCACGTTGAGCGGCAGTGCGAGCCTCGGCTTCCTGGATTTCCTTCAGCGAAGGGCCCTTGGGCAGGTCATTGGCTTCCTTGGCCCATGGTGCGACGGAGGTAGGAGCAGCGTCAACTGGAGTTTGGGTCTGCGAACGAGAGCCAGTAGCCAGAGACTCGGCTACGTTCTGACGGTTGCGCTGGGCAGTAGGCGCGGGAAGGGGAGAGGCAGAGGGTGGGGGAGGGAAGGGCTGGGGCATAGCACTGTCAACCTTGCCCCAGACAGACTCAGCAGGGGCGTGGCTCTGCTCATGTTCCTGCTGCTGGCGCTGGGCGGAAGCAGCCTTCTGAACCTGTTGGGATAGAGTGAGAGGCTCGGCGCCAGTAACAGAATCGGACAGCTGCTTGGCTGCCTCCTCCATGTCGGCGGCAACCTCCGATTCGAGCTGCTGGGAAGCGGCGGCAGGGTGAGTAGGCAAGCCATCGGCAGTGCGCATACCCAACTCGCCTTCCTGGGCGCGGAGAGCATGGAACTGACGGAGTCTCTCCTCGCGAGCTTGCTGGTCGAAAGGATCATCCTCATTGGCCTTGTCGAAGTCCTCCTGTTCTTGCTGAAGCTGAGCGCGGTCCTGGAGCATGGAAGAAACTTGCTGAGAGTGGAGGAAGTTGTCGGGCTGGCGGAAGGAGCCAGCGCTGCCAAAGGCGAAAGGATCCTGGCGGCCGACGCTCAGACGATCAAGCAGAGCTGGGAGCTGGTCCTGGCCGCCGACAAGGTCGGTGCCTAGCATTCCAGATCCGGGCAAACCACCCTGTCTGATCGGTGCACCATCGAAGAATCCAGGAACTCCCTGAGACGACTGCTGCATGGGAGCCTGGATGGGGGATGGCTGGTAGCCAACGGGAGAGGTGATGCTTCCAAAGCTTGGCTGGCTGTGCAGGCTGTGTGCGCTAGACTGGTGCTGCAGCGGGGGTTGCATAGAAGAAGAGGGGGCGCCAGGGGGTGCCATCTGCTTCATGATGGCCTGCTGCTGAGCGAGGTGTTCCTTTTGGCGAGCCATCAGGTACTGCTCCTCCTGCTTGCGGCGTTCAAGAGCATTTTGCTGTTCGGCAGTCAAGGTAGTGCCGAAACTGGGGAAACTGCCAGGGAAGGGAGGCTGGGCGGAGCCGGCGGTGGTATTAGTCCATTGGGCGACGGTGGGCTCAGGGCCATGGGGAAGGCCGATCTGGGGGACGAGGAATGGCTCTCGTGAGTTCCCAATGCGACGGACGAGCTGGGCCAGAGGCTCAAACTCGGTATCTTCAAGCTTCTTGATTTGCAGATCGGGACTGAAGAATCCAGCCTTGAACCAATCATGCATCTCAAGTCCAGTCCAGGGACCCTGGATGTTACCCTGAGGATCACGGTAGATCCAGCGCATTCGATCCGGCATGACCATGGTACGCTGCTGAGAAGCAGGAATAGTTGAGCCAGGAGCTTGACTGGAATCGTGACCAGCCAAGTTGGGGATCGAGCCAACAGCCGAGACAGGGGTCTGGGAGGCAGGTGTCGAGCCTGTTGCCTGCCCCGCCTTGTCACCTTGGTCGATCGATCCTTCCAAACCAACAGAGTCCGGTCGGCTCTCATCCTGCATGGAAGAGAACAGGGCACCCAGTTTGCTTGACCGACCGATGCTTCCAGTACCGGAAATGCCAGCATGCGGGCTGAAGAGGCCGCCTCCGCCAAGGGTACTCATGCTGGGAGACTGAAGATCACCCATGGAGCCGAAGATAGGATCGCCGAAACCACCTGCAAAGGCAGAACGCTCACGAGGGGGTGTACCGACAGCAGCGCCAGAAGACCAGGTCGAAGCTCCACCCAGCCCGGACAGTCCACCAAGACCACCGAGGCCAGAGAAAGTGCGGTTGGCATTGACACTCGAGTTTTGGCTGCGGTCCACGGCGGGCAAATCCATTCCGGAACCAACACGTCTCATCGATCCGAAGGGGTTGGAGGAGTCGCGAAGGCCGCTCAATCCAGGATGCTGGGCCTGCTGGATATCCGATCCATCAGTGTCGACATCCTCAGTGTCCGCCCGATCACCATGGCGATCACCATGCGGGCTCTGGTAAGGATTGGTGTTGGTTGGGCTGGTTGGTTCGTGGCCTTGAAGCAAGCTGGGGGTAGGGTTCCGCGAGTTCTCCTGGCTTTGCATCAACTCTCGGAGTCCTGGGATGCTAGAGGTCATGCCGAACGCGCCGAACCCGAGATCAGACTGAGGGGGACCCTCGACATCCTGAGATCCACCAAGAGCAGCGCTTCCGCTGCGAGGCTCGTCAAATGGATTAGTCTCGCTGCGGTTGACACGCGTCTTGACGGCATCTCCCCAGGGCGACTGGGAGCGGCCATCGCTATCATTTTCAGCAAGGCGTTCGAGATTGCTCATAGGCTTCTCCCTGGCGGAGCCGGCCATATCCTCGGAGCTATCCTTCGACAGCAAACCCTTAAACCTACTTTCTCCGCGGAGACTTCCGTAACCTGGTTTCTTTTCGGTTGTGGGGGTGTTTGCGTTCGAGCCAAGCGAGAAAGCCCCAAAGGCTCCCATAGGGGAGAAATTAGCGGTTTGTGAGACCGAACCCCAAGGGGAGCTCGGTCCACTTACACCCGTATTCAGGGGATTGGTCGAGCTACGCTTCAGGGTGCTGAAAGGAGAAGATGGTTCATCCCGAGCGTCCTTCGGCTTCTCATTCGCGGTGGGTTCTCGGAAGTCGGTCTTGCGACGCAAAAGAGCCGGGGGAGGGGTAGAAGTGTTGGCCTCGTCGCGGAAGAAACGGGAGTTGGAACCGGTAGGAGACATGGGATTTCCAATCGATTCACCAGTCTCCCGGCGTCGAGGGCCTGGGCGGCCAGCAGTAGGAGAGGAGGTATTGTAGTTATTGATGTGACCCTGGGGATAGGAAACGGAAGACTTGCGACCAGTTCCGGGGACAACGTTTTCCTTCTGGGCGTTCGTAGGTGGGGGCTTCAGAGGGGAATTGACCGAGGCGGCGAATAGCTATAAAATGTCAGTACGATAACTCACAGAGATCTGTAACAAGGATAATCCAACCTCCTTCTCGCTATCCGACATAACAGCAAGCCCAAGAGGTTCCACCTGGCCACCATGATCCCAGCACACTTCAGGCCCCGCGGAGTTGGGTTTGTGGTCGTCCCGCTTCCCCCACGCGCCATTTGAAGAAGTTGACGAAGTGTGTGGATCCCAGTCGGCCACGAAGTATTCCTCCACGTTTTTGCTCAAGGTTCCCTGCTCCCGCTGCGATTTATACAGCTCTAGAAGCTGCTCCTTGGAATACCGAGAGTCGCCATTCCGTGCAATGCTAGAAGTGTTTGAGCTCATGTGTGGGGGGATGTACGCTCCGCCGGCCGTAGGTGTCGAGGCAGATGCAGGCTGGCTACTGTCCCGCGGGTGGGAAGGGTTGGTAGCAACAGAAGGACGGCGGAAGGTCTGCGTAGCTCCGTTCATGCGGTTTCGAGACCTGGACATAGGTTAGGATCAAGAGTATGGAGCTTAGGACATTGACCAGCATGAGCAAGCAACAGCTCCGGTGCAAGCCTGTTGAGCCACCAGCAATGGGGGAAGACAGGGTAATGTTTGCATACCATTCTCCGCTAGTCCCATCCCCTCTCCGATTGGGGTCCTGGGTGTTGCCGGCGGCGGCCGAAGCGAAACTCGATGGAAGTGGTGTAGGCATTATGGTAGATGAGTTATTCTGGTCGGATGTTGATCCCCCACGAAATAACCGATGAGACAGTTTGTCGCGAGACTTGTGGCGGGTTTCGAGAATGTGTGATGCGAACGGACAGAGTCGCAAGACACAAGGAGTGAAGATTGAGATTGGGGAATGACAGCTAGAAGCTAGTCAAATGAAATAGAGAAGAGCTGAGGGAATGCAGAAAGCGGCCAGATTCAAGGTGAAGAGAGAGATCGAGTTTCGATTTTGGGAAGTTTGGAGCAAAAATGATTAAGCGGTGTGCGTGGCATTAGGCGCGCTGAGGTAAATACACGGTAAGGGATGGGCTGGGGGCGCGTGATTGGGCGGTGTTCGGAAAATTACAGTGTATTGGCAGAACCAGCGTTACCCTTAGAGCCCCAGGTATTCGATACACACAAAACATTGTGTTCGCCCACTGAGGCCGATGTACCCTCTACCTCCCTCCACACTTCAGGGCAAACAAACGAATTTTACTTGAAAGAAGAGTGCAAAAGAGAATGATGAAACACAGTTTGAGTGAAAGCCTGATTCCTGGTTGTTCTACAAGCCAAAAGCTATATTGATAGGAACTATGCAGTAGGTGGCTTGACGCAAGCAGCGTCGTGGCAACACCAGGATAGACGTGTATCATATTTATAACCACGTGCCTCTTCTGATTGGGAGCTCACCTGCTTTCAAAAAGGTCCTGGCCTCTTTCAGCTTCCCTAACAAAGGTTCTTATGCATATGGGCATCCCTTTCAACCCTCTGCTATGGACCAAACGCTTGTCTTAGCTCAACGTTGTGTCTTGAGATTCGGGCTAGACTCTGGTTGGGTTAAGAATCCATTTCTCTGTGCCTGTCTATAGGGCTGGACCACTCTCTTCTCGCTTTGTCGGAAATGACTGCCGGTTACGTCGGTTTAATCGACGGGGAATTCTCCCTTCAACACCGACTACAATGCTTTTGCTTGTTACTCAAGTCGCACAGGATGTTTCAGACCCAATTGATATAGTTGTTCGCTTCATCTATACAGATCGGCCCTTATAAGGAGACCATCTGCCGCTCCGGCCTTTTCCCTTCGCTTGTCTTTTTCTCCAAGACAATTCACTCGATCCATTGTGAGCTTGTTATTGTTAATCTACTACAGGTCTTTCTTCATTATCTTTGAAAAGCTCAAGTCGGCATTCGCTTTCAAGATGAAGCGATCAAGACGCGGCGATATTCCACATGCTGACTTTTGGCTGGGAAAACCTTTCGATGAAAAGCATCATTGGATCGAACAAATCAAAAGATTTCCCTGCGCTGGTAGTACCAAGTGGTCCCATGAACGATGCCCATCGAACAGGTCACCGTCTCCCCCTCCAGTGAAACCGCCATGTACTTGCTACAGTTGCCAGCACCAGCATCATGAACAGACACCTCCCCCGAGCCCAAGCATGAGCCAGGGCTCCCAAAATGAAGTCATCCGAAGATATTACTGTTGTACATCGTCCGTGAAACGCGAGCGGGAACAGTGGGAGCCCTCTCCACCAGCAGAGAAAGCCCAATGTACCTGCCAACGGCCCATTAGCCCACCTATACCAGTGTGTCCGGGATGCCACTCCCGACATGCATCACCTGCGCCTGAAGTTTGCCCACCAGCGCACAAGCCCCTGCCGGCATCTCCACCTCAATCCTGCTGTTCGTGTCGTGAGGTATTCGGCTGGGAAGATATATCTGGCACTCGAGTTCCAACCCCGACGCCGACCCGCTCTCATTTGTCGACTGGAAAGTCCCGAACTAAGTCGCCCCAGGCCAAATGTACCTGCAGGAGACACACTCCACCCCCGGAACCAGAGATCCGACACTGCGACTGTTGTCACAAGGACTACCATTCTGATAGCGGCTCCCATGTCTCCCCATACGACGATACATTATCGGATTGCTCCTCGGTTCGAGTTATCCCTGATTATGACAGGGAAGTCGATGAATCTCGGTGTGGTGCTTATCACCGCTGCCGTCCAAAATTTGACTGTCGGCAAGGCTGGGTTTGTGGAAAGAAGTGAGGTTTTTATTCCCAATTAGACGTCAATAGAAGTTCGATTGTTCTCTCATTTGCTGTTGAATCTACATTACTTTGTTGCTCTTACTACTCCAAAAGTGCATGAAAATCTACTTAAGAAATGGAATTAGGATGCTCCTGGGTTCTCAATGAAGAGCTTAACGGATCAAATGCTCAAACTCGGGTCAAATTCAGGTCATATGTTGACACCCATGTGGTCTCTCTTACGGCGCACTTGCGGCGCCAATGTAAGGCCTGATAGCTCAAATTCTGCGCCTAGTCCACCTCGTCAAAATTCATATCCGTACCCTCAGCCAGTTCGTCACCCGCTTCCTGCATCTCCTTTTTCGGAGCAGCGGCCCCAAGCTCGACCTGGTATTCGGCCTCAATAGGGGCCATCTTGGACCTGATCCAATACCATCTGCCGCGGGCTGCGCCCTCACTGATTCCGAGTCTGGCAGCAATATTGGCATCGGTGACCTATCAGATGAAATATGTACTTTAATTAGATGCTCGAACTTGAATAACGTAGGCATGCTCTACTCACCGGAACATGCTCAATGGCAAGTTTGTAAACCGTCCACATCATCAGGAGCTCCATGTCAACAGGCTTCTGCTTTCTGGTTGGCTTTTTGATTGGAGACACATTGCCGGCCTTCTTGGCAGGGTTCCTTGGTGTCATGGTTGTTATTAGGGTAACAAGGTCACGTGGTGGTGGTGTTCGAAGTTGAGGGTTGAAGGTGTGGAAATGTGGAAGATGATGTGCGTGGAAGTTGCGAAAACGCCGTATTTAGCGTGGTGGGACACAGTTCAAGGGGCAATAAACGACTGATGTGCACGCACTATGACCATCCCGACACAGTTTCTTTCCTATATATAGACCGTGAAGACCGGACACTGTATACAAGCTAAATGTTTTTATCTTATATTAAATCAAGTGTGAACAGCGCCTATCATCTCATATAATAGCAAATAGAACAGTCACATAGATTAGTCAAAAGCAAAAACAGGACTACTCTGTGTACATAAAACGCTGAAACATACAACAGACTGCCCACCTACTCCAATAAACTATTTATAGCTCACAGCATTATTCGGCAATTCAGCTATCATCGTATCCTTAGAACCATCAAGCTCTCCTCCTACTACAGCAGCCCTCGACCCCTCGAGCTCTCCACCAAACTGACTTGACTTTGCATAACGGAGTTCTTCCTGTATAGGAGCTTCAAAAGATGTGGGATGTTTATTGTTCCGGTTTTGTTTCCTTCGACGAAGCAATAGCCAGATCAACCCAATCAATATAGCGACTCCAGCCACGCCACCAACAACACCACCAGCAATTGCCCCAGTATTACTTGAAGACGAATCAGAAGATACGCTGTCAGAACCAGTCTCGGATGAAGAGGTAGGTGTTACTTCCGCAGTAGCCGAAGCAGAAGTTGATGATAAAGCGCTCGTTGCCGTGCCTATCAATAACAAAAGAAACAGTCATCAGCAAAACAACCCATACAAAGCACAAATCCGACAGGTCCCGTGAAAACTTACCAGAAGCCGAAGGCATAGAAACACCATCCAAAACCCAAGCACTACTAATATCCCTTTTATCACCAGCACAACCAACACGCCCCTTATGAGGACCTGAATTCGGCGAGAACCCAACCGTACCACTAACACAACAAAAGGCACTCACAGAATCATAAAGCAGCGCATTCTCATTGGCGCAGTGCTGGCCAACCTTGTTGATCTGTTGGATACAATCATTATTGTTTGGGCAGCAGACGAAGTAGCTGGCTCCGGAGGCGCATTTTGTTCCGCGCGGGCAGCATGCTTGCCATGAATCCCATGTTTGCCCGCACTCTGTTTCGGCCGAGTTGCAGGTGTTGTTGCGGCGCAGGGCGTAGCCGTATGGGCTTGAGAAATTTGTCATTGTTGTTTTTGGGGCTTGGTTGGTTGATAGTGTCGTTGGGTTGGGATGGGGGCTAGAAGGGAATGAGGCTCTTAGGGTTGTGTTGACAGGGGTTGGGTTATCACGGATCAGAGCACGGCATTCTCAAGGTCGGAGTTATTGGTTGCGTGTGGCCTTGGGATCTGAAGTCGCGAGTTGAGGACATGGGGCGTGTTGGGATGAGTGACACCGGAGATACAGTAGCATTAGGCTGAGGGAGGCTATGTGCTGGATATTAATAAAAAGTTTGATTGGGGGGAAGGGGACCCTGCATGGCTTCTGCTCAATGACCGAGTTTGATCTTAGCGCATAGCCTAAATGGGGGCCAAAGGATGCGGCAGAAGAGCGAAGGGTACACGGACAGATGAGGGAGTAGAGTATGGGTGATTTCCATATGCGAGTGGATGCCTCGATCCTAGTTTTTGACATCAGGATATAAATTACTAAGGGACTGAAGTATAAGAGTGGACTTTAGTGGTAAACCTACAATTAGGAGACTGGGACGGAGACGAGTTGATCGGTTTGTCCAACATGATTTCGATTCGGCGTTTATTTTGTATACAGTCGGTCTGAGATGGCACATTGTAAGAAAGAAAACCCAGTCAGAAAAGCCTCGTATGTACTATTGTTTGCATACGAGCGGCTTAACCCGCGAGTTAAGGGACGAATATAGATTGACATGTACAATCGCGTCGCACTGGACACTTAAGGGATCTAATAGACCAATCACAATAGCAGTGGGTCATACGAAAACGAAATTGACCTCTGAATTAAGTTAACAATACGAAAAATCAAAAGAAAAGATGGACAAGAGTCTGATCAACTGCAATTAAACAACTAAAAATGAGATCAGGCCAAAAGTAATTAAAAAAAGGAGGAAAGCACGAGAAACGGTCCAACCGTCCATGCCCGAAACGCCGAAACAATGCAGGAGTAAATAACAGCCCTCAGCTCAAGTAACAAGAACAAAAAGTGTAAGTATCAATCAAACTCCCAATTTCCACCAAAAAAGAACCATCGACAGAGACTGAGAACGAAGAGAGAGGCATCAAACAGGGAAGCCAGGGCTCCAAAGTATCAGCCCAACCCTCCGATCAAAGAAGATCTCCATCATCCATAATGCACCAGGAGCATGATATAATGGACACAGCTCTCCAAAATATTCCCAAGAAGCAGATAAAAACCCCCGAACAAAGTCTAATCCCAATTCCAACCCAAAAGTAATCCTGCGAATGCAAAAGGAATGACAGCAGCGCCTGTGCTATGCCAGATAGTAGTACAAAAGCCCAGCAGAGAAGCTTGCAAAGCTCCAAGCTCAAATCAAAATCAAATCAAAAAAGGAGGGGAAGCCACAAATGCCCGGCAAAGAATATGCAAACCCAAGAAAGGAATGAACAAGACACCGTCTAGATGCGAGGAAGGGGTCTCCCTCACAGAAGTAGATCAAAAACAAGAATCCAAGATGCAACAAGTATGGGTGTAGGGGCATTCAGGCATCAAAATGTTATGTGTAAGGAGGGACGTAAAATCATGAGGGGCGGGATGCGAAGCCACCAAGAACAAAAAAAACAGAACTATCTTCCCGCCTTTTCAAATGGAAAGACAGACTGTCCTTTATCTCTGGTAACTGCAACCCGCGATCTGGGCTTGTGATCAAGGAGTGACAGGAAGGAAAATCGTATCTTCAAAAAAAGGCAGAGGGGTAAGTATAAAAAAGAAAAGAAAAAAACTGAACGCAATCAAAAAGCACCAGTATCAGCCACGCGAGGACGATCAATGACCATGTGCCGTATCGTGCATGTTATACACGGGGTCCATGTAGCTGTAGCAGGTCCCGTTAGCCGGCGCGCCAGTGTGGGGTGCACCGGTGTTGAGCGCATGCATGTCCCATGCCGGGCGAGGGACTGGGGCTGGGAGGCCTTGCGCCATCTGCGGGTGACACATGGCGGGATATGAGTAGGCGCCGATGGACGTGTAGGGCTGCGTCACTGCAATCATGTTCCGGAGATCGGGGGCCGAGGACATCTGGGGGGTTGCTTGGTCGGCCTGCGAGTAGGTCGGGGCCATGGCTGGGGCATAAGTATTTGTCGCGCCGGAGTCCGAGATTGATTGAGGGGAGTTGATCGCGTGAGACTCGGCACCGGAATCGGAGCCCATGTGGCTGGCGTAGCTAGTCATTGGATTGGGGAGTGCGCTGGCTGTGGAGGAGTAGCTTGCGGACTGGAGAGACGAGAAGTTAGTAATGTTAATTAGGATGAGAAGTGAGGACACGTACGTATTTCCCAATAATCTTCTTCAATGCTGAGCTGAGGATCTTCCATGGGAAGACCTTGACGTCCTTCTCGATGTTGCGAGGCTTGGGGGCTGGGAAGCCCATGATAACCTTGAAGAACTCTTCGCTATCGGCCTTGGCCTTGGAAACGGTCAGAGGACGGAAACCCTCCAAGTTACGACGAATACGGTTCTTCTCTTCGACAGTGAAGCGCACAGCGACCAGAGACTCGAGCAAGTAGATGGTATCCACGCTGGTAACGTAGCACTCATTCTTTCCCTCCCAGGAGATACAGCTGATGCATATGCTGTTGGGGGCGCGATCCTCAGGAGTAACGGCCTTGAAGTCTCCGACGATGGTGCTGCCAGTCTGAGATCGAGTGAATTGAACCAGGCGACGCTGTGCGTGGCGCTCCTCCTTCGACCAGCCCTGGGCCATGCTGTCCAAGTCACCATTCAGCTTGAGCACAGCCTTGGTAGGGTACATGGCGTAGGGGTTGAATTGTGGGTTCTGGGAGATCGAACTAGTCTGCAAGGTAGAGGTACGGATCAAAGTCGGGGTGGCATTGCCACGCTGGGAACCCTTGTGCTGGGGCATGGGCATTCCCTGGTTGCGACCCTCGCTGGTAACAGGGAGGTAATTGGGGCTCCAGGCAGGTGTCAGAGGGGAAGGAGCACGCAAGGCAGGCTGGGGAGTGGCAGACACGGAGGGGTATTGAGCAGAACCGGGTTGCGGGGATGAGACAGCGTGGAAGGGAGCAACGAAGCCAGACATAGCAGGAAGAGGCTGCAAGTAAGGTGAGTAGGATGCGGACACGGAGCGGCTGTGGTAGCCATCGTGTGGCTCGACCTTAATTGAGGTTCCATTGTGGCGCTTGGTGCTTGCAACGGGGTGGTCGGAGTAGGAGAACTTGCGCTTGCGGGAATTCACTGGTGGTGACTGAGCCACTTGCTCGTATGTGTAAACGCCGACCTGGAGGACGGTGGCAGGGGACTCATCGTGTGTCTCCATCGAGACGGACAGGGGAACAGCAAAGGATGGTGACCCAGTGGACAAGAATGCAGGTGCATAAACTGAGAGTCTGTACTGGAACACAGAGCCCTCAAATCCGTGGAAAGTCGGGATACATTCACACTTCTTCGTGCCGAATACCAAATACAAGCCCGCATATGTGGAACTATGGAGATCATAGGGAGTCTGAATCTGGACCGTGACTCTGGCTCCCTCTGCTCCTCGCTGAGGGCTGTAGGTTACCACCTCGGGGAGCTGACGCTGGCGTGTGCCCAACATGGGCGATTGAGACTCTTCGTACGAGCTGGCGTACTCATTGTTGGGCATGTATGGAACGCAGTCCGAGATCTGGCTTGCTTGATCGGCCATGGGAGAGGGCACGAACGGGGTGGTCACATAAGGCGATTGACCGTAAGTCGAGTAAGAGGCAGCATCATGCAAAGATCGTGTGGAACCGTAATCTGTTGTTGTCTTAGTACGTTGTCCAGTCCAGTGTTCCGGTCAACTTACCTAGTATGGCGCCTGCGGTGGGCTTTTGAAAAGCAGACATGGACAGAATGGGCTCAGACTTGGCCCACAGGCCGTCTGAAAACGCACCGACAAACTGTGACTCTTCAGAATCCGAGAGATCCAAGGACTCGCCTAGTATCAGAGGCGTTTGGAAATCTGGGTCGAACTGCGAGCGAAACAAGTCAGCTGGGAGATCTCCTGTGTACAGAACAAGGGTCGGGAGAGGATTCAAACAGGATCCGGGCCTCGGATTGGCAGAAGATAAAACATGCGGGCATCCAGAGCCAGTGAAGGGTTGAGCTTACCAAAACACCGTGTGTCTTCGAGTAAGCCAGCTTGAAGATGTTGCAGCGAGTGCAACAAGACAGAACCTTCTGAAGCGAATGACTGGGAATTTATTCTCCAAACGATTGTAGGTCGAAAACGCACACGAGAAATTGGGGTGCTCTCCGAGACAGAACGAGCGAAAAGATGAAGCTACTGTCAGTTTCACAAAAAGGGCAACAAAATGCCTCGAATCAACATCCAGCAATGAACCAAGGCTGAGACTAGAAAAGGCTGGCTGCAGGAATCGACTCAGATGCAGTGGCCACGAAGTTCATAAAGACAAGATCCAGTAGGTTGAAAGGATCAGAAAGTCCACCGCCAATTCTGACAGTCCAAGGCAATTGGTTGAAAAGGTAGCGAGGAACAGGTTTCGCTAGAAGTTTCGGGAGGAGAAGTTCAAAGCAAAATGGGCACCAGACTAACTCAAATGAGTATACGAGCTTTCAGGCGGATCGGTGCATAGACCTGGAAACTCACTGAATCAGAGAAGAAAAGAAGCTCTGAACTGAGACCAAATTCTGACGTTCGACTTCAGGATAATATGCAAGATCCGAGGGTCATCAAACTACTAGAGAAGAGTCTAATGTCAACAACAAACACGGGACTAGCGGGACGGGGAAGCCATCCGACGGCTTCACCATTGAAGCTCGTCATTTCCCGGTATAGTCCAGAGCCAGAAGGACACGGGCTGCAAGGAGATGGACGAAAGAAACCCCAAAGAGGAAGTATGCAAGGCAGGAGAACTGAGACCGTGGGCAAAGGGGGAGTGGAGATACTAACCTTAAGCCGATGAACTGATCTGCCTGACAGACTGAGACCCTTCCAAACAGAGAGCTGCGTGGCGACTTGAATTTGGATCGTACGGTGTATTCAGCCGAGACAGGTGAGACTGAGGCGTTTTGGATTTCAACTTCGCAAGTACACAGTTGAAGTTCGCAAAATAAAAGATTTCTGATATCCCAGTTGACAGTTGAACCGGGGACCGAGCAAACGGGGATCTTCTGGATCAAGACGCGCAAACGCAAGTCGGGACAGTTGGACAATGTCTGACTCCTTGCCCTAGAATGTCTCCACCGAGATCGGATATCGTATGAAATGGTCCGAAAATCAAGGGTTTAAGGCGCAAGGTACCCTTAGGAAAATTAAGTATTAAAATATCGAATAAGTCGTGTTTCCTCCAATAAGACGTAGCGAACGTGATTCTCGTAGCAGCAGAAAGCGAGCGTAAGAGCGAACGTGGTGAGCGAATGTGGACCTCTAAAGTGTCATAGTAAAATAACAGATCAAAGGGGGGGGAATATCAAGTGGGATGCAAGGAAGAGGAACGAGAAGGGTTAAAAGCAACGAGGATTGAGGATATATGGATTATTATTAGCAGGTCAGAGTACAATCGTTTACGACCTAACTGTATAGGGCCACGAGCTGTGGAGAATTTCTTTTTTATTTATTTTTATTTTTATTTTATTTTATTTTAGCGGAAAATAAAATAATAATAAAAACCAAAAATACAATTTACGGAAATCGTGGCGGGGGATGCACAGGACAACCGATGACTTCGGAAACTTGGCTATTTCGGTGGGTGACACGAGGGGTTTCCAATTATATGTCGAGTCGCCCAAAATTACGGGGATTTGTAAAGTTCACAGCTGTTACGCTTTCCGAGATGCCCGGTCTGCCCGGATGCTCCACTGCAGCATGAATATTGGGAGCTTGGACTAAACAAAAATCTGCGAGAGAACGTGGTGAAGTTCTCGGGATAAAACACCCATCTGGCGGCCTGCACCGCGAGAAAAGTGGATCAGGCAGCATGTCGAAAAATGCAGGTAAATGTACATAAGAATTATACCTTTCCCGATAGTAACCTTGGAACCTATATGTGTTTTTTTGTCATAGCCTTGTTTGGGGGGGGGACACATTGTAACCCTGGACAAAGGAAAGGTCAAGGATCCAATCAGGGATTGTGTCTATAACGAGGGCTCGCTCCGAAAGGCTGCACTACTACTATATCCTGGCCAATCAGAGAGCTTGCCCGACACCGTATGGTTTTGCTTTTTTTTACGCTTTCCCTCATATTCCTTGTTATTCCCTTTTATTCTCCTAACTTACATTTCTTACTCGAGTCCTCAAAGTTTGTGTTGTCAGTTCTTCCCCCCCTCTCTCCCTTCAGAAGGCTGGGACGCCCTTACGCCGACCCTTGGATCACCCGTGCCAAACCAGTGGAGGTGACCCTTCTCTTCCCTCCAGGTCAGGGCTCCACTTCGGATCTTCTGGGTCCCATCGGCCGATCAAATAGCTCATGTCGTCACCGGTATAACACACATTGTACCTGTACATGTAAAATGTCAGCTATGACATATTTCTCTGGGTAATTCTAGATAATTCTAGCATACTGGAATAGTATAATGGTATTCCAGTATTCAGTAATCCAGCTAATTCAAACTCTAGAGTCATCTGACTGAATCAGAATAAGAATAGAAAGGTCAAAGTCTTTAGGGCTAAGTTTAGCACACCTTGCATTTTCAGGTGACTCGGTGGCCTGACTATGCAAGGGTTTGGCGATGTGATTGGTTGGTGGCCCCATTAGTCCCGTTCGGGCATCACTCCGTGGACCTGCCCATGCTTCTCTGCGCTGTTACCATTGCTCGGACATGGCCGAATCAGAATTGTATACGGAGTTTAATTGTAATTCAAAGTTCAATTACAGTTATTGTCTCAACTGCACTGTTAACTACATATATCTACATAGATTTCCCAGCTTATCAGGCCCTGTCGATCGAATAGATGTGCAGAAGATCATGTTAATTACCCGAACGCGCAGCGCGTCTGTGCTTTTCCGTATGACCCTCCGAGTGCTTTGTATCCGTACATACAATATCTGTGTATGTCATTTTGGAAACATCCAAGGAACAATGAATGATGAGATCATCAGGGTCCGAAATACCCTGTCCTCGGAAAAAAATCATGTTTAGCGCTCAAAACGCGCTAGGACCAAATAGCGTAAACGGTCCGGCATAGCTTCATTATTTCGTGCAGCACCAGCCACGATGTGCAAGAAAGGGATGAAAGGATGAAAAATTAAGAAACCTCGGTTCGTTTTATCGATAAGAACCTACAATTGGCATCTCCGCGATTTTGCCACGTTGAAGACGGGCCCCGTTGTGGGCCGTACTATTACCCCAAGGAGTATTGTCTCCTTGAAATTGAAGCTGTACCAACAAAAATCCCTGGACATACAACCAGGATAACCTGAACTTAGGGTATGGCAGTGCAAGCTTCGAACCATATCCGAGTACCATATCTGGGCGAGATAGAGCGACAGTGGAGTGATCGGCGAAGCTTCAACGTGATCAGCGCATGCAAATGGGGTTTCAAACGGCTTCAATAATTACTTAGCACCTTCCTTATTGTCTCCGCTAATTCTTTTCTTAGCACTTGGCATTTAGTAGTTAGTAACGTAGAGAATTGAGGATTGCCCCTTCAATGTATCCCAATTAGGCTTAGCCCCTGCCGGCGTTCTATGCCACTCCACACTTTCTCAAGGCTTCAACATATCCCGGGGTGCGTTCCCAGCCTCCAACTCCGTTTCTTCAAGACTTAACGTGTCTCTGCTTTTTTTTTCGGGATTCCACATGGATATGGATGTACTGGGAAATGCCCGTTCATGCAAACATGTTTCTGACGCAGGAACAACTCGAGACCATGCGCTGATCTACTACATGCACACCCGTTTCGAAGGTACCCAAATTGTGCTACGGCCAAGCTAACCAAACTGTACTTTAGAGGTTTATCGGTGCCTAGTCTCGGGTGGCATACCGTGTGAAACTACAATAATAGCCGGCACGAAACTCCTACCGGTCCGAGATTAGATCGTTTGAGCAAGGACTTCAAAACGATTATTTAACAAGACGTCAGAAATAGGCTGAAGGGGAAATTACACCAAATCTATTATAGTTTAGTGAATATAGTATAGCATGATCCTAACTTAACTTGATGTAAAATCCAAAGTGTAGAGTTTCCCAACCACCTCAATAATCAACCAGAGCAAGGGGAATATTCCAACAACCCTTTGTAACAAAAAAAAATCCAATAACCATCCCTTGATGATTCTAAATCCAATGCAATCTTAATTAGTTTGTAGAGAGAACGGCAAATGCTTCTTGTTCGTTTGTCGTCTGATCGGCCAATCTTCGGGAGCTTTCTTCGAGATGGCCCCACATCAGCAACTTCTGCCCCCGAGCAATGCCCAAAAAAGATTTTTTCCTTTTCTTAGTAAGGAGTTGAGTGTTTCCCCATAACGGAGTACGGAGTACTCTCGGGATAGTCAATAATCCAGTTGTTTTGTTAGGATCTTCAACCAAGAAAAGCGGAGCTCCCGCACACTCTTGAGGGCTTCGGAGGTGCAACCTTGTTTGAAAGGATCCGCGGTGCACGGTACACATTGGTGAGGATTTAGTCAACATTGACGTTGGGGTTTGTACCGGACTATCCGGTTCTACTTTGGGTTTGTGGCTTGGGTTCGGACTTTGACTTTCAGATTGGCCGATTACGATTACGATGTGCTCTTTACTCTCACATTCTCAGTTAAGGTTAATTATTGATTGAACTATTGAGAGAGAGATACTTGTCCATGTACATCGTAACCCAGTTCAGATGTCTCTGAACTGTTGGTTTTTGGGTTTTGACTTTACGGTTTTGGGAACTATATCGATTTCTCCCCATGCATATGCAAGTGTTATCGGGTACTGTACCCTGTAGGTAATAATATTGTCGCTCGTGCCTGTGCCTGTCTCCTGTCTGTCGTGCCTGTCTAGCTGTGGAGCCACCCTGCATATCGAGCACGGGTTCGGCCACTATTATTGATTGACCTCTTGATCTTCCCAAGGGGAGTGAAGGAGTGAAGGGCAAGACATAGATGCCAGGGCCTCTCAGCAAGGATCTCCCTTTGCCCACGGGTTAGGATTGGTGCACGGATCGGAGGAAACTCTCATTGTGAAACCAGACCAAGAACATGCTCTCTTTGCGCCCTAGGTTCGTCAATTATAGACCCTTACATTTTGTGTTTCGGCTTCGAGTTTATTGAGGGTTGCGCAAACGGTAGCGATCCTCGGTTCTTTTTCCTGTCTCTTTGTTGCCTGTTGTCTTCCTTGGTTTTCCCCAATGCCGAGAAAGGATCCCTTAGCCATAGCTCGGAGGAATGTGGCCCCGCTCAGTACTTTGACATCTTGGAACGGTTATTTTGGGTCGGGGAAAACAAGTTGGTGTGTATTGATCTCTGGGGAACAACTCACCGCATCATCTCGGAGTCTTAATCACGATCTTATTTGCTACTATATCGATAAGTCTCCTCATTCGTCAAAAATCCTTCCATCGAACGCGGGAAGATATGAACTGTATTCCATATTAACCCCATCCTAGTCAGCCACTCAAAAGCGTGTAAATTCACCGGTTTTGCACTAAAGCGCTAACGATGATCTGCTCAATGCGAAACTGAGGGGCCAAAATGCGCTTCTCGGGGTAAACAATCCTTTCACGCTAGAGGTGAAAAATTCGGAGCTACTCCTTCCCACTATGCTTAGCGTCGAGAAATCTGCGCGGTCCGCGGAAAAGGTAATTTTCAGTTCAACGGTGCCAATGCTACTGCAATAGTCTCACGTCTCTGGCATCTACGCCCCGGTGGCACTATATGATATGACCAAGGTGTGACCTAACTCGTCGGTCGGTACGAAGTACAGAGTCCAAAACACACACACACCCACCAAGCAGAAGACGGTACTTGCCAGAAACCAAAGCAGAGCCATCAGCTCTTCGGTAGCAACCTTGTTCAGCGGGACCACTGATTGCGCTTATGATAATCATATCAGAGAAGCACACGCAGATTTCGCGATCGACGCTGCAGACTTGCGGTCAAATCCTGTATCTACCAGGTCACTGGCTGGGGTCTCGGGATATGTCCCCGCCAGCATACGCAGACTCTGCGCTTCGGCGGGGTAAAAAGAAGAATCTGGGAGAAAATGAATGCCGCATAACCTGTTAGAGCAGTGGTCTTGATGTCTCCTGCGCAGGATCACCGATGCCTCTTCCCGCGTTTTGATTTGGAGCCACTCATCTTCTCCTTGGTTGTTTCAGCTCGGTACCGGCCTCGCATTTCTGCCGCTACGGAGTACAGTATGGGGCTATGGCTTTTATTGTTGGGGCCTTGGTGAAGGCTGGGGAAACGGAGCAATTCTGTTGTTGATATTGTACCGGCTTGGATCCGTGCTCCGTTTCTTTTAGTGCGTGCTCGCTACCTTGATCTTCCGGATATACAGCACTTGTACCTGGGGATTTTGTAGGTGTTCATAATTCAGGGGCTGTGAGACAGAGATCTTCGGTCTTCTTGTGAAACATGACGATCTGGTTCGGTTAAGAAGCTAGCGGATCCGGATCGGATAAGTAGATGAGTTTGCAGAATTAAATGCGATCTTACAGTGGCAGTGAATAATTTGAGATATATGGCATTCCTAAAAACCATACTCCCAACGTTGTGATAAGTTGTGGTTGCCAAAACATGGATACATATATACGCATATCAGCCACCCGAATCTCAAACCTACCTAAATTTACCCGACTATTTTACCGGACAAAAGCATAGACTAATGTCAAATCGATAACCAACCCTGATCTCATGATAGGATCGGCTCTGATCAACAGATCAACAGACCTTGAAACCATCGCGCAAAGTACGACCGTTTCAGATTGAACCCGCCCAAACCACCACAAACATGTAATAAACCGGTACAATCCAAGTTTATCTCTCAACCCGTCTATTCCAACGCTCCCATCCCGAACTTAAAGCTGGATAAGAATATCACACGGAACACTTAAGTATATCTCCATAACCCCAACCAATCAGCACCCACCTCGGTCGGATATCGGAACCCAAAGAACCTCCGAGAATTGTTAGTGCGAGCCAGTTAGCAGCGTTTGGCATATTAAGCTAGCGCATTATCCAGGATTAGTACATTAGCACACCGTGCTAAACGAAACCCCACTATACCCCATCCACCTCGCAAGTTCCTGTACTGTTATAGGCGCACGTATAGCACGCCCCAGTCTTCCGGATGTGACCCCATCATCCATGTCCCGGTACTCCGTACACAAGACTGGTCGGATTCGACGCTATCAAAGAAGCTAACTTCACAAGTTCGACATGAGTCTCCATACCTTTACCCACTTTTTCCTTCCTTTTTGTTCTTTGGTGCACTTGACCCAATTGGCTTCTTATTTACGCTGGTGCCAAGGCATTCTTCCTCTTTGGGTGTGCCAAGCTAGGCAGCAGCCATTTTGGGGAGCCTCGGTAAAGTTTTTTCCTGGATACTCTGCTCTGCTTTACAGAGTACAGGAATTGCACATTGGCTTGCTATGGGCCTAACTTTGTCTATGTCGTGGACTTCAGCTCTCTAACTATGGTACACGTGCGAGTGGTTTGGTACAGGCAACGCTGTAAACCGATTTTTCTATTTGTTGATTATTAGTACTCCGGTGAAGCTGTTTGTACATGACATATAGTGTAGTGGATTAGCTTTGAGAAAAAGAGGTCAATAGATGAATCAATATCCCCATCACACACCCGTCTTCAGCAATGCATTACCTAAAAAAAGCTTCTACCGTGACCTACATGAAAAAGAACGAGTTAATAGTAATGGATCCCCGGTAATTGAATAAAAAATGGACATAGTGCCCAGTGCACAGTACAGTAGCAACGCGACCGGAGCACAAAATTGTTTATAGTTAAGACACCAAAGCAAACTAAGAGAGCGTAAGCAAAAAAAAAAAAACCAAGGACTTCGGAACATAGCCGGTCGGCAACTCGGGGGGACGGACCCTGATATCCGCTCCATGAGGTTGATCCGCCCATTGAGAGGAGCGCTGGCCGAGTGCCAAGTCCAATCGTCCCATGCAGGGTATATATCGCTTAGGCTGTCTCAGTAAGAGGGGAGCTATTATTAGCGAGATGGGAAACTTTAATGTCGAACGGGGAATATGGAGTATACAGTAGTAGATGGCACTTCGGGCCGGTGATTGGGATTCCAGGTTGCAAATGTGTGCAGATGCGGGAAGTTGCGGGAAGTTTACGGGTTGTCAGACCAGAGTGATGGGTTGTTTTCTTCTTTGGGTACTGCACAGGCCTGGGGCTGATTGGAATATGTTGCGCGAATCGTACGCCGTACATGTATTCCGCTGTGGATGTGGTGAGATCTGATATCTAGCGGTGAATAAGTGGTTTTATTTTCTGGCTTTGCCTTTGCATTCGATGCTACGGTGGTAATCTTTTGATATGTGGATGAGCTTGTGGGCTGACTAGTTGGATGATCGTCTACTTAGTTAGTTTGTGGCTTGATTAGGGTTGTCTCTGATTCTTAGCTGTTTTCCGGGCCAAGAGGATAAAAAAAGGCATAGAGTTGAGCGTCAATGGAGTCCACATTCTGGTCGGATAAGAATAGGCTTGTACATGGCAAGCTGAAATGAGACACAATGACCGCACTGGTCGACGTAGAAATCCGGACCAGGAACAGACCAATAGCAGACGGAGTTAGACAGTGAGACCGTGCTTGTGCGAGCATCAAGCCAATGTGTCCACCCCCTTTCGTAGTGCTCTATAAACAGAAACAGCATGAGAATGAGGTGATTCAGAAGATGGAAGCACTCTGTTGGACGCTGCGGTCGTAGCAGACAGGGAAAAGCTTGGACCAAAATGTATACAATTCTGGTCTGTTCTCCTGTTCCTCGACCAGCCACTTGGCGAATGCCAACTCTGTCTGGAAAGGATTCGTGCTTCGATATGGAGCAACCTGGTTCACGTTAGAGCAAGGCTTGCACCAGATAAGTTCAATCAAGATGAGCACGACAGTGACTGACCTCTGGATATCGCTGCAGGGCCTGATGATACTTCTCGGAGAGACCAAGCTTCTGAAGCGTGTTCTGACGGATCCCCTTCGCCGCAATACTGAAAGCATGCGTGAGGTTCTCACGTTCCGCAAAGCTCGACTGTCCGAGCACAACGCCGCACGGTAGCTTTCGGTGCTGATGGGCGTGTGCAACCTCGATCAGCCGTGTGAGCATGTCGGCTTCCCAGTTTTCGAAGAGAGGGTGGCGGAACTCCTTGATGTGTCGCTGAAGCAGCCACAGCTCACGCTTCAGGCGCGTAGTGTTAGCTTGCAGCTTCGATAGGCGTCGTTCGATGTGTTTGTTGACGGTTTTTAGGGCATAGTGAGTGGCGTCGACGGACTGCATCAGGCTGTCAGTTGGGATGCATCCCACCGGGATTGCTTTGCATACCTGGTAATCATCGTCATCCCAAGCAGCTTCTTGGACAGAGCGGATCGGGTCCGACACGAGAGGCAGGCCATTACCCCGTGAAACGGAACGAGACGGCTGTCGTTTTGACATAATCGAAGAGTGGCAATGAGTGGAAGGGCTATACAATGAGTGGAATGAGTGCTTTTTGGATTGGATAGAAGATGATACAATACGAGTGACAAGTGCATGAAGATAAAGAGGTGCAAATCTTATGTGCTCATTGCTGCGTATCTGGAAGGCACCACTGCCACCGTCGTTCCTACCAAAGCATTACATTCCATATGTATTGACAGACATCATGCATTCATAAGGGGTCATTATCATCACAGCTTGCTGCCGGTGGACTTGCTGAAGTCAATCACCAGTTTACCAAACTGTGTGCCTTGCTTCATGTCTTCGAACAGCCCGTCGATAGCAGACAGGTCATCCAACTCAGTTTGCAGCACCCGAGACACCACGGGGTGAATCTTCTTAGCATTCACAAACTCAATCATCTCCTTAAACTCCTTGCGAGAGCCCATTGTGGAACCACGGACGTCGATGTTCTTGAGAACAGCAGACATCGTAAACGGCATCTTGGGAGAAACCGTCATTCCGTAGATCGAAAGGACACCGCCAGCCTGTCAAAGTAAGTATTACGCCCATGAATACAGTGATAACATCCCATCGTGGCACTCACCTTAAGCAACTTGACAGACTTCTCAATAGAATCACCACCAGCGCCATCAATGATCGCATCAAAATTCTTCTTTCCAGCCGGAAGCATACCAAGCAGCTTCTTCTCCCAGCCCTCCTCCTTGTAGCTAACACCACCGGTCGCACCCAACTCAACAGCCTTCCGAATCTTCTCCTGACTCGAGCTCGTCACAAAGACATGCGCACCCCTCGCAACCGCAAACCGAAGCGCCATTAACGCAACACCACCTCCAATCCCAGTAATCAAAACAGCAGCCCCATCCCCAGAGTTCCTCTCCCCGGCCTTGGTAATCAAAGCCCTCCAACCAGTCAATCCAGTCAAAGGGAGGGCAGCGGCCTCAGCATCAGAAAGATGCTCCGGCGCCTCCTCAACCTCAGAATACTCAATAGCAAGATATTCTTGTAAGGTCCCCTTATCATAAACCTTTGTGCCACCCATAATCCGATACCCAGTCGCCTCCTCGGGCCCGTCAGGCGAATCCTTCCAGCCAGTACCGGGGTTGAGAATCACGCGCTTGCCCTGCCATTTCTCTGGACTGGGGACGTCCGGTCCGGCGCCGACAACGACACCCACTCCGTCTGCTAGAAGGGGCACGTCGAAGGTTACGCCCGGGTACAGGTGTTGGCGGAGAAAGAGGTCGCGGTGGTTCAGTGATGCGGCGGTCAATTTGACTAGCAGTTCACCCCCTTGCGGGGATGGCTTAGGCACAGCCCGCAATGAGAGTGGGTAGTATACTTGACCTGGCTTGCCGGGCTTGCCATCAATTGAGGAAATGAAGATTGCTTTGGACATTTTGTTTGTGTATTTGCGGTAAATTGGATATGTTCTATGAGTTGCGTTGAAGTAGAGCTTGAGTTGGGGCGTGCGGGGATGTTTCTTTATCGATAACCGAGGCTCACTGACGTATTGGCCGAACGTCCGAGCTTACAAAACAAGTCTATGATGTTTGTTGACCTATATTGTTTGTAAAAACGGGGGCTCTTTACTTTATACTGATTATTTCTGCATATCTGAAAGCCAGGGCGCTTCAATGCATTCAAATCTTTCAAGGCAAGACATAGCCTTGGAGATATATCGGGTAACTTGTGTTCAAGGTGTTGACGAGAATGTGCGATTCGCTTTCTGTAAACATATATGTGGGTATGAAAACTCGACTTCCTGTCAAAATTAACAGAGTGGCGTCCGTCGTAGTATTGAACTACAATGGGACTTGAAATGAACTCATCATATGAAAGGCTGAGTTGGATCGGAATGCACTCGTTGTAGTTGCCAACTAGCTAGACGCCTTTACCGGCAGTGGATGCTATACATGAGATGGAAGGCAACCGTGTCTTTCATCTTAGCATTACGCTCGGGTATTTATGTTGAGAAAAGATCTCTCTGCGGTAGATGGTTCGTTCTATGATTATATATATTGATTATCGTGGGCTGTCAAGGCGTTTCCCAAAGTCATGGAATTCCCCCAAACAAAATCAAGGTATAAAGCGCATAAATATTGGACTGAAGAGATTCTTATTTAGCTCAGTTGGCCATTATAAACTATTGATCAATGGTTGATTGTCAATACAAAGACAGCACGTGATAGGGTCGAATGTTTCACGTGGTAGCACGTGACAACCAGATGACTCAATATCTTATCACACGTGACCGAGGGGCACCGCATCGAAAATGGCAATGGCAATTGACTCATAGAGCGTCCCTTGATTCTTTGACAACGTCAATTGTTCTCAATTCAACATTCGTATCCCATACCCACACACTACACCGCACAAACCACGGGATTGATAGCCACCACTGGCCTTCCCCATTCTTTTATCTCTACTTTCTTTAACCCCACATCCTTCACACTGCTCAGCCATGGACCACATTAAGCAGACCTTTGCCAAGTGCAAGGAGCAGAAGCGTGCTGCCCTTGTCGCTTACATCACTGCCGGATACCCCACAGTCGAGGAGGCCGTTGACATTATGCTCGGACTCGAGAACGGCGGTGCTGGTACTGTTATCCCAATCCCGGTGGCACCGGAACAATTCACTGACGAGATTGAAATATAGACATCATTGAGCTCGGAATTCCCTTCACAGACCCCATTGCCGACGGCCCCACTATTCAGACTGCTAACACAAAGGCCCTTGAGAATGGCGTTACTCTCACTACCGTCCTGCAGCTTGTCCGCACTGCTCGCAGCCGAGGCTTGAAGACCCCCTCCTTCTTATGGGCTACTACAACCCTGTTCTGCGGTACGGAGAGGAGCGCATGCTCAATGATTGCAAAGAAGCTGGTGTCAATGGTTTCATCATGGTCGATCTGCCCCCAGAGGAGGCTGTTCGTTTCCGTGACCTTTGCGCAAGCGCTGGGTAAGTTTGGATAATTCTATCATTTGTTCTCCATCACAGAAAGCTAATTCTCTATCAGTCTGTCATACGTTCCGCTTATCGCTCCTGCCACCTCCGACTCCCGCATGCGCCTGCTTTGCAAGATTGCCGACTCCTTCATCTACGTCGTTTCCCGTATGGGTGTCACCGGTGCCACCGGCTCACTGAGCGCCAACATCCCTGAACTCTTAAGCCGTGTCCACGAATACTCTGGTAATGTCCCCGCCGCATTGGGCTTCGGTGTCAGCACCCGTGAGCACTTCTTGTCCGTCCAGGATGAGGCGGAGGGTGTTGTTATTGGCAGCCAGATTATCACCGTCGTTGGCCAGGCCCCTGCTGGTCAGGCCGCCAAGGCCGCTGAGGAGTACCTCTCCAGCGTCACTGGACGCAAGCGCGAGCGTGATGCTCAGGGTGCCCTTACCCACGAGATCAACGTCATCGAGGCTATCCAGAAGGCTCAGCCCTCAGCGGAGGCCAAGCCCACCAAGGTTATCAGCGATGCCGATACTCCTTCCGGCCCTGGTCTTGCTGACCAGCTTGAGGCCCTTAACGTGACCAAGAATCCCTCCGCCCAGCCTTCTCGATTTGGTGAGTTCGGCGGGCAGTACGTTCCTGAGTCCTTGATGGACTGTTTGGCCGAGCTTGAGCGCGGATTCGATACTGCCAACAATGACCCCAAGTTCTGGGAGGAGTTCCGCTCATACTACCCCTACATGGGCCGCCCTAGCAGTCTCCACATCGCCCAGCGTTTGACTGACCACGTCGGTGGTGCCAACATCTGGTTGAAGCGTGAGGATCTCAACCACACTGGTAGTCACAAAATCAACAACGCCCTTGGCCAGATTCTGATCGCTCGTCGCCTGGGTAAGACCCGCATCATCGCCGAGACTGGCGCTGGTCAGCACGGTGTCGCCACCGCTACTGTCTGTGCCAAGTTCGGCATGAAATGTACCGTCTTTATGGGCGCCGAAGATGTTCGTCGCCAGGGTCTCAACGTGTTCCGTATGAAGCTCCTCGGTGCTTCCGTTGTCGCTGTCGAGGCTGGTAGCCGCACTCTGCGCGACGCCGTCAACGAGGCACTCCGCGCCTGGGTTGTCGAACTCGATACCACCCACTACATCATCGGCTCTGCTATCGGACCTCACCCCTTCCCCACCATCGTCCGCACCTTCCAGTCCGTTATTGGAAACGAGACTAAGGAGCAGATGAAGGCTGAACTTGGAAAGCTTCCCGACGCCGTTGTTGCCTGTGTTGGTGGTGGCTCCAACGCCGTTGGAATGTTCTACCCCTTCCAGAACGACCCTAGCGTTAAGTTGGTTGGTGTCGAGGCTGCCGGTGATGGAGTTGACACTGGACGTCACTCCGCCACCCTTTCCGGTGGTTCTCACGGTGTCCTGCACGGTGTGCGTACCTACGTTCTCCAGAACGAGCACGGCCAAATTTCTGAGACGCACTCCATCTCTGCTGGTCTTGACTACCCCGGTGTCGGCCCCGAGCTGTCCAACTGGAAGGACTCGGACCGTGCCACCTTCATCGCTGCCGACGACAGCCAGGCCCTCGAGGGTTTCCGCGCTCTTGCTCAGCACGAGGGTATTATCCCTGCGCTGGAATCATCCCACGCCGTTTGGGGTGTCATGCAGTTGGCCAAGACCATGGGCAAGGGTCATGACATCGTCCTCAACTTGAGTGGACGTGGTGACAAGGATGTCCAGCAGGTTGCTGACGAGCTTCCCCGGCTGGGACCTAAGATCGGCTGGGATCTGCGCTTCTAAGCCTTTCATCCCTGGCTAGTCGTTTCTTCGCATTTCCCCTTTTCTGGTCGAATTGCATCACTTGATTTGCCTTCGTTTGGGCTCATACGTTTCGGAAAAGCGTTTTCATTCGGCTTGCAGTCTTTTTTTTTTTTTTTTTTTTTTGGTTACTTCTCGATTACTCCAGTCTTTTCTCGGTTACTCTGGGGGTCATCCTCGTACATTTCTACACACATAAAATAAGAATTGATACCCCCTTTTTAGACGTCATGTTCCTTCTTGTTATCACGTAGCATTGTAGATCTGGGTTTGGTGTCCCAGTCAAGGAAATACCTCCATGGCTTTCGACAGAAGGTCAATAGTTCCTGTTTCTCGCTACAAAATTGACATTTACGACAGGAAGCTCATATCCTACCTCTATTACATAGACCTATTCTACCGTAGTCGATTCCTTCTTCAAGCACAAGGCCTCAGAAATATGGTTCGATATTGTATAATGCTTTACCAGACCAAAGAAGACAGCAAGAATCAAGTAGTATGACCGCAGAGCAAAATAAGTAGCCGCAACAAGAACAGAAACAGGAACAAGAAAGGACTATATGCAGTCGACACGGACAAACGGTACACATACAGCCCCGCCAAAATGCTTTCTCTTCATTTCATCCTCCACTCTCCCAAGAACACTCGCGGACACATCATGCGTCGATAAGGTTCTCGTCTGAGTTATCGCGCGTATCCCTGTTAGGGACCTTGCGGCCCTGGCGGGCATAGAATTCGTCCAGGATACGCTTGGGCACACGGTTAAGGAGCTCCTTGGGGTAAATGCGGAGGAGGTTCCAGGCGATGTCGAGAGATTCCTGAATTGTGCGAGACTCATAGGCAGACTGGCTGATGAAGGTGCGTTCGAACTTCTCGAGGAATTCGAGGGAGAGCTTATCCTCCGAGGAGAGAGCTTCCTCTCCCACGACAGCTTTCATGGCGGCAGCATCACGACCGATAGCGTACTTGGCATACAGCTGGTTGGAGACATCGCCGTGGTCCTTGCGGGTGCGGCCCTCGCCAATGGCGGACTTCATTAGACGTGACAGCGATGGCAGAACGTTGATTGGCGGGTAGATACCGCGGTTGTCGAGCTGACGGTCAATGAAGATCTGGCCCTCGGTAATGTAACCAGTCAAATCGGGGATCGGGTGGGTGATATCATCGTTAGGCATGGTCAGAATGGGAATCTGCGTGATGGAACCGTTGCGGCCCTCAACTCGTCCAGCACGCTCATAGAGAGTGGCCAAATCCGTGTACATGTAACCGGGGTAACCACGACGACCGGGGACTTCTTCTCTGGCAGCGGAAACCTCACGAAGGGCATCACAGTAGGCAGACATATCGGTCATAATGACCAGACAGTGCTTCTCAAGTTGGTAGGCGTAGTATTCGGCGGTGGTCAGGGCGAGACGAGGAGTAATAATACGCTCAATAGTAGGGTCGTTGGCCAAGTTAAGGAACAAGGTGACACGCTCCATACTACCGTTCTCCTCGAAGTCACGAGTGAAGAAACGAGCAGTTTCCATGTTAACACCCATGGCGGCGAAGACGATAGAGAAGTTGTCCTCGTGATCGTCGTGGATGCCCTTACTAGGCTTCGCTAGACTGGCCTGTCGAGCGATCTGGGCAGCGATCTCCGACTGCGTGTGTGTTAGCAAGAGATCATATCATCGTTAACGGTGTTGGCCACGTACATGGGGTAGACCAGCAGCAGAGAAGATAGGAATCTTCTGTCCACGGGCAATAGAGTTCATAGTATCGATAGCGGAGATACCGGTGGAAATGATTTCCTCGGGGTACACCTTGCGTCCCATTAGCAGAGCTCCAACTCATATTGGTAATGCACATACTCGCGAGTAGGGGTTGATAGGCTGGCCGTTGATATCAAGGTAGTCCTCTGCCATCACCTTGGGTCCCTTATCGATGGCACGTCCCGAACCGTCGAAGACTCGACCCAGCATGTCCTCGGAGACACCCAGCTTCAAGCTGTGGCCGCTAAATTCGACTTTGGTCTTCTTAACATCGATACCGGAAGTGCCTTCGAACACCTAGTCTGCGTTAATGTCTTGCACATGAGGGGCGATGGATAGCGGTCTCATCTGTACCTGAACGACTGCTCGGTTTCCTATTTGTGTAGATAGCAGTCAGCCTCTGGGTAGTGTATAAACGGCAGAAAGTGGGTGACCGACCTCTGGCTTCCAGCACCTGGCCCGATCTTTCAGAGCCGTCAGCTAATCTAAGGCTGACAATCTCGTTGTACCGGGGGAACTTGACCTATTCCCAACATTCATTAGCAAGGTGTTCCCGGTTGATGGTCCGGCGGTCTCACATTGTCCAACACGACCAGAGGCCCATTGATTCCCCCGATGGTGTTGTAGCGGATCCGGGGCTTGATGGAGCTCATCCGGGGGTCATCCATATCGGCCATAATGAACAAAGAAAGGGTAGTATGGGGAGGTTAAAGGTGGGACGGGGGGTTCCAGCTGTCTCGACGGGACGGGGAGCTTGGGCGGTGAGTGGGTCGTGATGATTGCGTCGGTATTTTCTTGGCATTTACAGAGCACATCCTCACTTATTTGATATTCATTGGTAGATTGAAAGAATTCGTGATGGCAAAAGGATAGAAACCATGATGCTAAAACTTCAGTTGTCTAAACTTATCTACGAATGATAGCCGGTACGAGAGAGTAGAATGGTCCATGACAACGGGGTATATCCATACATGTTAACAGCGAGAAAGCAAGGATCCCAGGTTTGATGCACCGCCTAAACCGCTGAGCATGATGCTAGTAGTCTCATAATGATCCATGAAAATGCAAGCAAAAGGAAACCAAAGGAAAAAGAGAGCCCATAACCAATTAGTCCACTTTGGCTTGAGAGAGACTCTTCGGGGTAATCAAATTATTGGAAAGGCGCACGTTTGCGCTGCTGAGCCTACCCTTGGAAGAATGCCTCTTTAGCTTTCGACGGGCGACCATTACCGGCACTGAAGATTTGGAAAGTAGGTAGTTGGAGAACGAGCCGAGAAGCACACTAAGATTGTGTTAGTTTGTAACATGCAATGACACGATTGAAAGAATAGACTTACCCCTTCAGAGCACTTTGACCTCGGGCACCCACAATAACAAGTGTCGGTTCGAGTTCATCGATAGCTTCAGTGATCATGGACTTCGGGTTCTTGCAGTGAATAACCTCAACGGCAATGCGAACCTGTAGCACCGTTTTCCGCAGCAGCTTTACACAGGTCTGAGACACAGTTTCGACTGCCCTCACCCGTTCCGCTTCAGCTATTGATGACGCCCGGGAATCAGCAGAATGCGCCTTGCTGGCGGTTCCCGGACCAAGACGGCCCAGGATCGTTCGGGATCCATAGCCAGAATTCTGTGCTTCCTTTGTCTGTGTGCCAACGACCGCTGTTGCGTCTTTGATCACTTTGGCTCCCTCGCCAACCTGCACAGCCGAGGTACTCGTAGAATCCTCGGGCATAACGTAGATGGCGAATATTGTGTCACCATCCCTGAGAACTGTGCCGATGGTCCACTCGAGGGCATATACAGACTCTTCACTTAAGTCGGTGGCGACCAGATACTTACGTCGGCGTCGGCGGATCTCATCGCCGGTATCTGACAAGCCTGAAAAGTTTCCGCGAACAATTGTTCGGATGGATCGGTTGTGCACGCCATTATCAATGGCTGACATGGAAATGCTAAGCTTCTGTGCACGGTGAATGTCGCCAATTTCCGCTTCATCGTCGGACCCGTAAGGTGTACCAGCCACTGACTGGATACGAGGGGTCGGGATATCGAAACTCGTCTGTGGATGCACAACAGCTTTCAAAGCTGATTTCCGAGGTTTCTTCTCTTGGGGCCCGGTCGTCTTCTCATTTGCTTTTTCTAAACATGTGGTCAGTTCATCGCCCTTCAGCATGATTGAAACAGTAACATACGCTCTGCCGGCTTGGGCTCTTCATTCTTCGGCTTTTCAAAGTCGTCGGGTGTGATAGATGTGATATCAGCCCTCTTTCTGCGACCTCGCATACCTTCGTTGGTGCTGTCATCGTCACTTGAAGTGTCGTCGCCTTCATCCTCACTGCTTTCAATTATATTCTTGTCGCGGTCAAATACATCCTTGGCCAGTCGTTCCCCGTTTTCCTCCACAGCAGCCGGTTTGACATAATCAGGAAGACTTCCAGAAGAGTTGGGTAAGGCTTCATCTGATTTATTCAGATGGTCGTGGATATGGACTGTCTTTCCCTTCCCTGAGCTGTTAGGGGCAGGCTGTATTGACTCCACATGGATAGAATGGCTCCCGGATGAGCTCGGGCGACCCCTCTCCGGTGAGGTAGAGGATCTGGAGTCAAGGGATGAACCACGCTGGATGGAACCTCGTGATGAGTCTCTCCCGCGGGAAAAGCTCCTCGGGAAGAGTCGTGATTCTAAGCCAGACATCATGGCTGCCATGCCCTTCCGGCCCTGGGACTTGTCGCGGGCTTGCAGGAAGCGCTTTTTGGAATGTGACTGCTCCGAAGGAGAGACAGAAACCTCGAACTTCGCATCTGTATCGGTGCCAAGACGGCTCGATGGTCTACCAACCTCAACGGCATGATCGGATGAACTCCGGGGTAGAGCCTCGGGTTCGGCCCTGGTCCTCTCCGGCGAGCTCGGAGCAGACGCCATATCTGAATAACTCATGCGCAAAGGCGACGAGACCAGTGGCTCGACTGGGCTGCGGATTCCGCGAGCTCTAGGTGAACAAGTCCCCGCACTATTCTTTGGCGGGGCAATCAGCAGGCTTTGCAATGCACGGCTTAACCCAGTTGGTTTCTCGTCAATCGGGGTTGTCGAGATGGTTGATCGACCTAAGCTTTTAAGTTGCTCAGTGTTGGATATGGGGGAAGTCCCAGCGTGGTACGACAGCGGTACCGCCTCCGGTGGGGAATCCATCGAGCCGCTGCAACGACGCCAAGCGCTGAGGAATGTGGAGCAGATCGTCCTTTTATGACGATTGCGCTGGGGATGTTCTGGATTATCCGCGTTTTATCAGCTAGAAGCCTTAGAAATGAGCCCTGGAAGCTCACTGGAGGATAAAGATGGAGCTCGGTCGCCGACGGTATAGTCCATTCAAACAAATGGGATTTGCTCGAACATCTTGACTGCAGAGTTCAAAGTCAAAGAAAGAATGCAAGGGATTGCGGGGAGAACAAAGATCAGTCCCCAAGTGGGAGAAGGCGCGAGCTCAGGGCAAGGCTTCCTGCTGCGGCCACTGTGGCTGCATAGATATCACAAGTTGGCGTCCCAAGAGGGTACATACATCTAAGCGGTTAAAGACTCTATCTTGCTTCTTATACACAGCTTGAATTGACTAGAATACACCGAGCAAACAGCAATAAATATAATTCAAACTAGGTATGCCAACCTGATGCAATCAACCCCTAGATAAAGACGAACGCCGAAACATGATGCATAAACATGAAAGCAAGACTACCTCAAGACTTGGACCTCTTCGACTTGGGCTTTGCACCCTCCTTAGATTGCTTCCGAGCACCAACAGCAGCAAAGGCCTCATCTGAAGGCTCATCCTCAACACCGCGCTTCCTCCCATTAGGTTGCGCATACTTCTCCTCCAGACGAGCCAAGAACCCAGCACCACGATCCTGCTGACGTTTGGTAATCATAGCCTGGAGATCATCCAGACTACTCTCAGAGCCCTTAGACCCCTTCGCAGCCTCCTTCTTCTTCTTATTCTCAATCTTCTTCGCCAACTTCTCCGCCTCTTTAGCCTCCTTCTGAGCCTTCTTCACCCGCTGCTTCTTCTTCGCCTCAGGCTCCTGGGAATAATCCTCGAAATCCTCCACTTCTCCGTCCGCAATAGCCTGATCAATAATGGCACGGAACCGCTCATCGTCATCAAGGACATTGGACAGCATGACAGTCTCGTAGATCCCATCCATGTCGCCCTCGTGCGTGGTATACGCAGCAAGCAGATCCTTCTTCTCCTCGTCTGAGTTTTGGTATTTCTTCTGGAAGTCCGAGATCGCACGTTTGTCGAGCATCGCTGATAGCTGTTCACGGTAGAAGTCCATCCAGTTGAAGTCGCCGTCTTCTCCAAAGGCTTCATCTGTGCTGCCGGTGCGGTCGTATATGTTGCGTCGGCGTGGGTCGGAGAGGACACCGTATGCCAGCGCGATGCGCTGGAATTTCGCATTGGCTTCTTCGCGCGCATCTTCGCTGACCTTGTCTAGTATGGAGTTAGTTCATCTGTCTTTCTGGGCTTGTTTGGGGGAAATGCCTACCGGGATGGTTTCTCAATGCACCCTTCTTGTATGCGCTCTTGATCGCTTCTGGGGTTGCGTCTGACGCTACGCCGAGAATTTTGTAAAGGTTCTCCTCGATGGAGGGCATTTCCTCGTCTGAGGCATGGTGTTGTTCGGGTTTCGCGCCTTTCGCCATTGCAAGTGTGAGTGACACACAACAGCTGGGTATAAGCTTTGTTGAAAATGAGTGACAGTAAATTGTTTCAATCCAAATATTTGGAACAAAGATTCCGTCTCATTAAAAAATCAACAAGTGTAGTTGTCTTCGTCGCCTTTCAAGCTGACGCGATTGACGCGACGGACCATTTCGTCATTTTGCCACAAATCCCCGCCTTTACACCCAGCCCACCTTGAACACTTGAAGCTCTCTACAACGCCACTGTTCCCTCTCAACTTTTAAAAGCTGCATATACGTTTCAATTTACAAGATACATCAGTCCAATCTATAATCTACCCGCTCATCCCCCACCCACACCACAAAACAACCTATCAATTACCAATCGGCCTCACCCACTATGACGACAAACACCTCTCACACAGCCTACATAAAGAAGTGCCTCACCCTAGCCGAAAAATCACCACCACGCCCAACAAATTTCCGAGTCGGCGCCCTCCTCCTCTCCCGCAAAGACAACGACCCAACCTTCTCAGACGACCGCATCCTCTCAACGGGGTACACAATGGAACTAGCAGGCAACACACACGCCGAGCAATGCTGTTTCTCAAACTACGCAGCCGTACACAATGTGCCAGATGACCAAGTCAGCACAGTCCTCCCCGCTGAGCCAGGCCGCATGCTCATCATGTATGTAACGATGGAGCCGTGCGGGAAACGGCTGTCTGGGAATGTGCCGTGTGCGCAGCGCATTGCGCGGACGACGGAGGGGGGTAGAGAGGGGGTTCATAAGGTTTATTTTGGGGTCAAGGAGCCTGAGACTTTTGTGGGTGAGTCTGAGGGGTGTAGGATGTTGACTGAGGCGGGGATTGAGTGGGAGCATGTTTCTGGGTTGGAAAGGGAGATTTTAACCGTTGCTACTGCTGGTCATGAGAATGGCGAGGAGGAGGTTCGGGCTACTCTTGGTGAGAAGGGGACTGATATTGATGATATTAGTCCCGAGGAGAGGAGGAGGCAGGAGGAGGCTCCGAGGAATCCGAAGAAGAGGATGATGGAAGGGGAGATTTCTCTCTATTGATAGAGGAGATACAACAGTATCTGCATAATATGTTCCTCCTGATCTCTGCTAAAAGTTTAGCAAGGAGGTACTTAGCCATGTTAGCTGGTGCAGAGTTTCCTGGGGCCTGAAAATGACGTAGAATCAAGCACAAAATCAGAACAGTGGAATCATCTTGTAGGTGGTTGTGTCTATATATCCCAATACAATATAGAAATATAGAGGATATGGGAACTACAACCAAACACGCGCCACGCGACTTGATATATAAACACGTGACCTCAACCAACATTCAATTCCTGTCCAAACTCATCCATGAGCAACAACATCTCAAGATCCAGACTCTACATTCCCGAAACAAGACACTCAAGACAAAGATGATCCAATGGCAACAGACGATAATGTGGACCTCACTTTCTACCCCGCGTTCTGCTTCAAAGCGTCACCAACGCACTTCACCTGGGTGAAGATGAGTGCCGCAGATGTGCACCGTCTCCGAAGATTGAAAGAGTTTGTTGGTAGGTTATTTTAGACTTTCTTTGAATCCTGGTCATTTCTTTGTCCCCTGAAGATCGACACGTCTAGTGTTCTTGTGCATTTCTGGGTTATTCACGGGTACTCTAATGCCGGACCGAGACGCCTTAAATAAGGCATTAGCGTTAAGAGTTGATATCTTCACTTTCACTTTGAGTGTTCATACTTCACTCTTATTTTGTATGGGAATTCCTTTGATTCCGCTGCTTTATGCATGGGGAATAATCCAATATGCATTACGCTCTCTTTTCCCAACATCTATCTGTCTACTACAACCCTCCCCGAACTATATAATCAGAATAACACAAAACAAAGAATCCAAAGCTAACAACCCACTAGGCGAAAATATATTTTTCTACAATAACCACCCAATCCGCTTCGTTAGCCTAGTAGGCCTAATAGTGGCACGAACAGAGATAACTCGACGAACAATCCTAACGCTGGACGACAGCAGCGGCGCCACAATCGACATAGCAGTCCTACAGCAAACCCAACCAAAGCCAAACGCAAACAGCAATAACAGCAGCATATCAACCAGAAACACCAACCAAACCACAAGTGACCAAGCAGACCCAGAACCAGAACCAACCCCCTGGTCCAACTTCTCCATCACCTCAAAACCACACCGCAGCCAAAACCCCAACCCCCAGCAAACACATATGACAGCAACAGAAAACGATCCAATAAACATAACATCCCTCCAGCCAGGAACAACAATCCGAATAAAGGGAACCCTCTCCCTCTTCCGCTCAAGCATGCAAATAAACCTGGAACGCTTCACACTAGTTCCAGACACGAACGCCGAAATGGCATTCCTAGACGAGCGCCTACGTTTCCTGATCGAGGTCCTCTCCGTGCCGTGGGAGTTATCCGATGCCGAGGTTGAGGGGTATAGAGTTGATGCTGAGATGGGGGATGTGAGGGCCTTGGAGGAGCGGCGCAGGATTGAGAGGCGGGGTGTTAAACGGCGTGAGAGGGAGGAGAGGGATGCGAAGGTTATTGCGAAGCGGTATGAGCGGGAGGAGAGGGGAGAGAGAGAGGGAGGGGGCTTTTTGTCGGGAGGATGGGGTTAGGGTTATGAGGAGGTTTGGGTGGGAGGGTGATAAGTGATAGTAATGATACTCCAGGGCTGTGTATACAGTTGCTTTTGTGGTTTATGATACTGTGCTATGACTTGACTCTGAAGATCTGGTCTGAGAGGGATATGGGCTGTGATGAACAATTCACTTTTCCGCTCGATGCTATCCACAAATTATATATCAACAGAAATATTCAAGACATCAAACCTCGACATTAAATCATCAGTCATGCACATAAATCCCCAGAAAGAAGGGGTATCTTTGTTGCCATGAAACGCCAAGCTGGAGTATGAAACACAAAAATGATAACAAAAATGAAGACAAAAAGCAAGACCCCGGAAACAAGCATAAAAACAGAAAAAGAGACCAAAGGAAAAGTAGTTATCCATGTCCATGTCCACATCAATACCAAATATGAATTATCAACATCAACATCCCTTACTACTATTCTTACCGATAATATTTATCATACCCCTGCCCATGAGTATGAACAGGTCCCCCACCCTGTCCGCCAAGCATACCACGATAATAATCCTCATCAGGACGAGCACTACTTCCGCGAGGATGATAGAACCGCCTGGGCTCATCAACTTCTGGCGAAACAGAAGTAGGAGATTCCATGTACTGCAAATCCTGCGCCGAAACGCCCCCATACCGTGGCAAATGCTCGCGCTCACGGTCCCGGCCTAACAGATCACTCTCCGAATGTCTGTAATCGCCAGTGCGCTGGTTCACGCTTCGAGATGAGCTGCGCGAGCTACGGGAGAAGCGTCGGCCGGGTGTTGTACCTGGGCCTGAGCCTGAGCCCGTGCGGGCATAGAGCGAGTCTCGATCGTAGGCGTCTGGCATTGACGTTCTGGATGGTGGTGGTGGGTGGGATTTTATGTTTGTGTCTGATTGTCTGGGCGTGGAAAAGGAGCCGCTGTGGTTGTGGCTTTGGGCTTGGGAGCCTGAGCCTGAGCCTGAGCCTGAACCTGAGCCGGGGCCTTCGTAGACTTTGCCACCTCCTGGGGTTGCTCTGTAGGGTTTGCGTTCGCGCTCGATTGGGGCGGAGTGGATAGTTTCGTCTTCGTCGTCGATCATGACCGGGGAGGTGGAGGCTGTTCTTACTCTCGGTTTTGCTGCGGGTGGGGATGATTTCGCAGGTGGGGGTCGGCCTCGTTCGTATGAATGAGTTCGCTCTGTGGAGGATGCGGTTGACGTGGGGGATCTTCTTGAGCGGGTGGCTTCGTCGCGTTCCTCGTCGGTGATTTCGGGGAGGTCGACGCCGCATTGCTTCATCATTTGATTTTCGATTTCTTCTCTGATCCTGAGATCACCGATATCTGGGAAGAGGCGGCGCGGGAGTTCTTTGGGGAAGCGCTCTTTCTTGTCGTCGGGGTTGCTGATTGGCATGTTGAGAACTGCTTTTTGGAGTCGCTCGTATTCCCGCTCGGGATGGGCGAGGATCATTAGAGTAGCCCATCTCTCGAAGCCTTTCGGCGTCAGGCCTGGAATGTCAGGGCGTTCGCCAAGCTTGTCTTGTACAAGATGATGCTCGGCCTCGACATCGCGGAATAGGCGTGAGATTGACGATGTGCGATCATCGAAAATATCTGGACGTCTACTGTCAGCATCTGGATAACAGAAAAATGTATGGGATACTAACCGTGCCATGGGTAAGAATCCGATGAAACATGAGTATCCTTGTAAAACTTCTGAAGCTTGTGAGGAACAATGACGATAGTGTTTCCAGGAGGATAATCCTCAATCTGCCCAAGTCAGTCACCCATGCACAAACACCAAACGAAAGAAAAGGACGTACCAAATGAAGCGCAATACCACGCAAGAACTGACCAAGCCTGTTCGTAGGCTTCCCATCCTCAAACAACTTCCCCCAAATCCGCTCAAGAGTTGTCATCTCCGTAACAGTAGCATCGCGATCTGGCGGCTTTGGTCTAGCCTCCATTTTGTGATGACTGCGCGCACTCTCCTGGCTCGACATAGAGCCTCGCCTTTCAGAGGCCGGATCGGGAGACGGTTTCGGACTGGGACGACTATCACCATACTCAGACTCAACGTACGGCTCAACGTATGGCTGGAAAGGCTCCTTGCTATCACCCGAGACAGGGACAGATGGGGGGATAGAGTTGCTCCGTGCAGCCATAGTAGGAGGGGACTCAGCATGCGGGCGCACCGACGGCTCTGTTTGCCAGGCTGGTTGTTGCGATTGCGAGCGGGGCGGGGGTGGACCGGGGACTGATGGTGATCCTTGTAGGTTGTCCAGGCCGGTTGATTTGAGTTGCTGGATGACTGTCGCTGTGATCTGGGACAGCACCTCTGGCGATAGATAGCCTGTAGAGCCGCTGTTGTGGACGGCGGAGTTTACGGCATCGTTGATGGCACCTGGGTTATGGTTCTGGTTCTGTCCTGGGTATCGTGGTTCGGGGTATAGCTCTGGGTTTGGGGCTGGCGGCCCGGTCGGCATCTGCGGCTGCGGCATGTTGATGCGCTCTTCGTATTGAGTTGGGTATGGAGGATTTGGCGAGTAGCCGTCGTTTGGAGGGTTCATGGGTCCCGTTTGGTAGGGGTTGGAATAGTACCCATCGTAGGCCATGGGGTTCAAAGGAAGTGTAAGCTCTCTTTCCGGGTGTATCAGTGTGTGAATACGCAGGAATCAAGAATCAGCCAAAGAGACGTTGGGATTTCTAGAAAGAAGAAAAGTTGGATAATTTGAGGGGCTCCAGGGCTGGTGGGGGGAGGGGGCAAGTGAAACGTTGTGGCGATCGCAGCCTCCGAAAGTGCTTCAGACGTCACACTGTGTTATGGTGTCGCTCTTTAATTTATTAGAGTGCAACAACTTTTCACTGTCATATTACTAGTTTGCATCGGAGCGTCATGATCGGCAGCTTACTATGCATCTTCCATGCGATATCTGCATTCATTACGATTTCGTCGCGCCTATCATAGGGAGAAAGGGCACTTTTTCAGCGATCCAAGTATGTCATCGCCGTCGGTTGGGATCCGATGGGTTCAGGCCCCGATCAGCAGAACGGAGGGCTGAACTATATATTCTAATGCCCATATCCGATATCATGAATATTATATTCAAGAATAGTATACTAATGAAAGGGTCTACTGATATGTTTTGCCTGACTCAGATCGGATATTTAGAATGTTTGTTTACTGTGGGGGACCGATGTCATTACCGTCGACTCAACCATGGATCGTTGTAATTTATGCTTACAAGTATAATGTATACGGGATTGCATATCATCTCATTGTCCTAACTCCATGGAAAAATAGAAAAAGAGTAAATCTGAAATCAAAGGAAAAACTGCCAGCTTATTTCACTGAACCGGTGAAAATCTCAGAACCGATGCATATGCCTCCAGCAGATCACAGGAATTTCTGTCCATTGGACTCATC